TTGTTTCACACACTAACTACTGCTACACGCTGAACTATTTTTATTTTACTGTTAGTTTATTGTTTACAGCCTATCCTGTTCACAGACACATTTGGCTTGTTCATGTGTAATTCTTATACCTTATTTCATGATGAGATATGGACTCGTCTACTTGTATATAAGCTACGTCTGTTTTCAATATAAATATAGAAGCGGCTGGTTTCTGCATTCGAAAGAAGAACAGAGAAAAGCTCTAAAATCATGAGCTAATCAGAATTCAGATGTTGACTCAAGGTTAGTAGTGATGGGCGGACATTGAATTGGTCAAATCAGAAACATAACACACTACTACAAACAGCTTCGTCGTATATCCTTCCGTGTAATTTCTCCAGTAGGTATTCATAACCATAACTGCCTAAGTACAGTGTAATCAGTAACTTCATAGTGATTGTTAACGGTTACTCGATATTACGTAACTTCTACCATTAAAAGGCTAGACCTTAAAGATAATATTACAATTTTGACCGATGCATCTAATCCTATAAATTATATCAAAAGTTTCTTCTGGTTGGATTGAAGCTTTTTTCTTATATAATTGATCTTATGTGTGAATTATGAAGAAAAATACTGACTCACAGATGACTTCCTAAATATTTTTATACGATAAAATATCTTCAACAGTTACGTTTCGTTGACTATTTATGTTGCCATTCAAAAAGGCATAGAAACGGCTGCACCTACCAACCTTGACATCTTCATGGAATAATAATTTGTTATTATACAGTAGTCATGATTAAGGATTAGTATATGGAGAATTCCAAAATACTGAGTACCACTAACCATCCGCTTCGATCAACGTTAAACAAAACTCCATAGAGTTTTATTATTATAATCGAATAGTAAATACTCATTCTTTCGTGTTCAATATTTCTAAAATCTTATGTTTTCACAATGTAAACACCTATAACCGCGACATGTGGAGGTAATAAGAATTTGTGTGCGCATTGTTTATTAGCTTCCATAACAGGTGCATAATAAAATTATACAGCTTCGTATGCTAAATGTTATATTCCATGGTAGGGTATATAAATATCTAAATGTCAGTCTGACGTAAACTGAATATTTGAATGTATAGGAGTTATTGTAGTGATAGCATTATAATTACAAGAGATAAGTTTATTAGATATACATTTTGAAGTTACCAAAAAAGTTAAAACATAATGGCCTTGACTACTGATTAATAAACAGTAGGCAAGATCGATTATTGAAATTAAGAATACAAGTTAAGTTTCATGTAACAGATGATTGATAATGCTATACTGATACCCTACATATGATGAATGTTTGTCTCTCGGATAACTAGAGGTTAAGGTTTTTTTATCTATTTGTAAAAGTAACAATTACATTACCTTCATCTTATTAGAACGGTATGACTAAAAGCAGCTATTCAAGGTATGGGGGCGAAGTCGTACAGCTGACTATAGAGGAGTGTGACAGCAGTAAGGTGTTTCCTTCAGACAAACAGTATCTGCAGTGATGCTGCACTTCCACATGGAAGGAAAGGGTTGGAAAAGGTTGACCCTAAAAATGTGACACCTCATTTTGCTACCGGGTTTCCGTATCCAGCGGTAAGGCCGTCTGAAGAGCTCCCAGGTCGCTCAGACCAAAATTAATCCACCTTCCTTCTCAGGTTCCACAAGAAATACCATTCTACGGTGTGGAAAATCGGAAAAAGACATCCACCCTCATACCCGTAGCAGCATACGAGACCAAACTAGTCAAAATAAAATCCTTCTTACACCTCCTACTCAATCGCTTAACTGTTCCTTCATTTCTTTGCCACCTCGCGTACCTGATGCAAACGTTTCGAGTTGACGAAACATGATACCTGGTCTCCTAAAAACACGTTCCAAACTAAGTGTTGGAGCTTTTAATGTCCGGACCTTGTGCCAAATAGGGAAAAAAGCTTCTCTAGCCAGGACTCTGGGATCTAGTGTCACCGATGTGCGCTGTCTTCGAAATGCGCATACAGGATCCGAGTTGAGTCATTCATTTGACCTCATCATGTCGAAATAGAGGACCATTCCGATTCACGCTTCGTATATCTGGAAGCGGCACAGCTGCTTCCCGTGGCCTCACTGGTCAGAACTAGTTCTCTTAGACTGGATCCCAGGAGATAGTCACTTGTGTGCTATTCGACTAAACCGGAAAGTAAGAACTAGTAAATACAAGGACAATAGCCGCCGCCTCTTTGTCCTGTCTGCCTATGCTCCTGCTGACTGCAGCTCGGATGAGGTAAAAAGTAAGTTTTACAGAAAGCTTTCGGACCTCCTCCAAAAAGTTAGGCGCTCTGATGTAGTAATAGTGGTTGGTGACTTCAATGCTCAAGTAGGTAGACTCAGTCAAAAGGAAAGACACCTGGGTGGATCACATGGTGCTGAGACTCACAGAACTGATAATGGCGACCGTCTGTTGCTCAGATAACCTCCTATTTCTAGCAAACACTAACTTTAAGCACAAGAAAAATCATCCTTTGACACTGCGATACCCAATTCGTTCCAACGTAGGACCCAAATGGATGACATCACTATCAGTCACCGATAGAGAGGCTCGATAGAAGAATGTCGCTCATCCTGGAGCATATGTTTAGATTCAGATCATGCTCTGGTTCGAGCGCGTATCTGTTTGCGTCTTAGTGGACGTAGGAAAGGAAACCTCTTAGGGTTGTACTTAGTGACAGCGAAGCTGATAATACATTTCAGAAACAACTAGAAAACCAGTTAGGCGGCCACGTAAGTGATTCTAGCCCAGAGGCAACTTGGAACGATATCCAAAAAGCTGTGGAAACGACAGCGATGTATGCCATTAAGGTAAACCATAAGGTTAGGGAGAATTTCACTACCGAACTGATAGATGCTCGAAAACACATCCTATCTGGCTCTGAACATGATGAAGAGCGAAGTCAGCTTAAGCGCAGGCTGTTAAAAGGCCTATGCAGTGATCGCGAACAGTGGTGGGTAGTGAAAGCAAGAGAGATCGAAAAAGCAGAGGCGGTAGGTAACAGCAGACAACTGTTCAGACTTATCGAGGAAACCGAAGCTGGGGATCCGATTGTTAGTGAGACTATCTCGGAAAAAATTATCACACTAGTCATTCTCAATCCAGAAGTTAAGATCGATGAGCAGAAAACTTTAGGGATCAGTTCAACTGGGTTCCAGACACACTTCGGTTAACCACGATCTCCAGTCAACCTGAGAGCTAGTATAGGGTTAATGTACTGCCTTGACAATCCTTTGAGTGACAGGAACTGACACAGAAACCCACAATCAACTGAGTCAAGTGCCGCCTTAAGGTTGAGAAATACTACTATTGTGGGACGTCTGAACGTATTTCTGTGTTCTAGGACCTGACGAATTGTGAATATGTGATCTATACATCCATGTCCAGGTCGAAAACCAGCTCTAGTTAGGCGTCGAAGTATTACTGAAGCTAATATCTTAGACATTACATATTGGCTAGAATTCCCAAGCACTGCGAGCGAATGACTAAAGTAATGTAAATTATGCCAAATATTAGACTGAGTTGTGGTACTTTTAAACTATGAGACACAAAAACAAAACAAGTAAAATGAAGGATAACGTGACCGAAAAGTATTGATTGAAGAATAAAATAAACAGAACATTATGACTATAAACCGTGCTTAAAAAATATTTACACAAATCTGTTTAGAGACAAACGCAGAACATACACATGAAATTAGTTTTTGGTATCAATCTAATCAACAACCAATCAAAGAGTCAATATAAATCAAACAGTTTTAGGAGAAATGATCTACGCGCTTTAAAATACATAGTATTCGTAAACGTAAATTAAAACATGGTATTTTAAGCATACATCATAAGCTGCATATATTAACAATTCATAGATGAAAACTATATCTTTAAGAATTTTAGAGACTGAAAATAAGTAACTAAAGCGTCTTATATGACAATTCGATCCAAGCTTTTTCAAGAGAATCACTAAAATCGTAAGAATTAATAGATATATTTATAAATAAGGAATGGACATCAAGAACTGACACTGCTTCATCACTTGTAATTTTTGATATGATGTTTTAATTCCTTGTCATAGGGTTTTTTGGTCCTGATAAGAGTATAAGCTGATAAGTTTGTATATTTGTCTACCGTTTTTCTTGTTATATTTGACAAACTAGATCTGCATAGTTATCGCTTTAGTTATATTATAAACAGAAAGATTAATTTGCTAAAATAAGTATTCGAAAGAATAACTTTTTGGCTGAAATTTAAGAACATTAGCACGCCTATGCATGGCACTTCTTAAAAGTATTCTACATCAAATAACTTACATCCTCGCTGCAAACAAAACTAGCATATGAATATGACCAGACGCGCACTTATTATAGAGGTTTCTTTGGTCTTATTTATCGCTGATACTTTTGATTCAGGTGAAGGTTGGAGTCAATCAGTTACAACGTAGAACTTCGTACGTACGTACGTACATCAATTCAGGCTGCCATACCGCATTAGCACACGGACGCAACTGTCAGTTCAAATCCCATAGTGGTAGAGATGGAAGTATTAGCAGTAACGGAGAAGATTAGGGTTCGAAGGTATGATTCGAGAAGTATAAATGAGATAAATTTAGAAATAAAAATATAGAGATGATGGGGAATTCAGAAGATTAGAATTTGAGAGAACACAAAGAGTGGATGCACCTGAGCCACTGCAAACGATTTTCAGCCATGTCGTTCAAGGCCTCTAAACATTGGTGACTTTTGTCTCGTGGACGCCAACCAGATGAGACTTCACTTATGTCGAGAGTTGCATCAGTACGGATGGTCTGGTGAGTAGGTTCCTGGATAGCATTCAGGCATTATTTGATCTCAACTGTCAAGATTTTTACAAATACAATCCTCATCTAAAAGACTCTTCATCGCAACTATTATGAAACTGCCCACTCTAAACCGAACGAAAGGCCACATAAAATAGGAAGCTATTTTTCAAAATACTTTACTATAAAGACAAGCAAGTAGGTAAACACATATGATCAAGGATCACTTTCAAACCCTGGAAGTCCAAATTGTTCAGGTTTAAAATCAGCTAGACACTTTAATCTAGTGACACGGGATATGTCAATTGGTGAAGTTGAATTTAGAAAATTTCCAGGTGGTTCTCGTGGATCAGGAATCCATACAACATGCATCCCAGCTGAAAGGGCGGCTTCAACACCATTTGGAGAATCTTCAAACACTAAAACATTATCTGAGGAAGCTGGAGGAATTCTAAATCTATCAGCAGCGGCTAAAAATATATCTGGCTCAGGTTTACCGTGCTTAATCTAAAATCGATGTAAATTAAAAATGTAAGGAACAGTTTGGGAGTTATAATGACATGTTTTAGGACTAGAAAAAAGTGCTAACAACATGAACTTGGTATCGAAATCTACGCTATGCATGATGAATACAGTTAAGCGAAATTTTACAATGTAATAATTGTGTAGAACTATATGTAAGGTACCGTAAAGACGTTCAAAAAGGTAAAAATTCAAATTCCAGGAGCTTATAAGCTAGTTTTTGACAATAGACTTATTGAAATAAATGTATTTCTTTTATGATATAGTAGGAATCCAGTGTGATTCAATAGCCTAGAAACTATTCTGAAACTGTAGCTTTCAGAGCGCGATGTTTGCGACTGCACAAACAGGAAGTTTAAAGCGCAGAACCAATTGAAGATAACTTGTCGGTGGATCGATGAGTTCCTTGTTGATTGGTAATGTGAAACAATTTTAAGGTTACTTTAGGGAAACCGATACTTAGAGAGGTACCATAGGGGATAAGAATAAGCTCATTGTTATTCATTTTCTGTCGAACCACCCAACTTTTTCTTAGTCTTTAATACTGACTTAAGCCGAAGACGTCAAATTATTGGAGGGAATGAAAAGGGATGACGATGCAGAATAGATTTAGGTGAATATTGACGTCTTGTTAGGGCGGTCTATGATATGATTAGCAAACATAACTGTAACAAAGTCTCAATGTATATGCGATAAATAGAGAGCAGAGACAAGATTCGGGAGACATTTGCCATTAGTTCTCATTCACAATAACTTAACAGTTATGGTAAGTCATGAATTTACGACCATTACTGTTTGGTTACAGTTACAGAACCTTAAGGTCACTGATGGCTTTCAGTCACAAGAAATAAGTTTACTAATTTTTAGAGAGACACACTTTGGTCAGATCAGATGCACTGAACATGCTTTACATGATACTAAATTATTTGGGACTGTGCACATCCCTTATTGTTTCTACAATCAATTCATTACATATCAAGTACGTAACAGAAAAGTTCAAAAGCTAGGGATGAATAGTACAACAGTCAGGTGTAGATCTGCCGACTTACTAACACCGGAGGAAGCAGTATCTTTTTCAACTAACCCACTTAACAAAAGACTAGACACATACTGAAGGATACTAAGAAAAGAGTAGTACAAGTTCTGGGTCTTCTGATTTCACGACGTAGTTCTGAGCATTTCGTATGTATTCACACGTTTAAATAAGATATTAATAAAGGATAAAAAGTTCCTATCCTTCTGACATTGCAAAATAAAAAAAGCGGGATAGAAAGGCAAGTTAAGAGATCACAGCATGGATCGAAGAATTCAACTACATATTAGTTACTCCTCTGGGTTATTTTTTGAACTTGAGGCGAAACGCAGAACGAAACTATTAGCCAGCCGATAAATTCAAGTAAATTAGATCGTGGAGTTACAACATTTTAGACAACGTAACGAACACATTACACTCCTGCTTAGTCACAATATTAAATGATGATATATAATCGCAACTTACGGAGGGATCATCACCAGAGCAAACGGAATGAGAGATTTTGGCCATTAAACTCTGATGATTTCTCATTTTCTGGTCAAGCTGATAACTACAACAACCAGTAGCCAGGGCCATAGGAATATTATGAGAGGCAAGATGGAAAATAAGTCTCTCAGCACCTGGCAAACATTTAACACTCTCCCACCTCTCTGGAGTAATGTATTCTGACTGCTTTTGAATAAACTCATCTACACTTAGTGGTAAATTATAGTGTTTTACAAGTATTTCACCGGCTTCATGAGGTTTCCTTCCCATCATTAACTTTTTGATGTTGTAATCGAACTTTAAATTATATCCACTAAGAAAATTTGATGTGAACTCAGTGTATATAGACTCAGTATCCAAAATGAGACCATCGACATCAAATATTACATGAGTAACATCAATCATTTTACGCCCAAGGTCAAAGGAACAGAAAGGACGTTATGCTTAGCAGATTATTCCAAACACGAGTTCGAATGTATTATCGTGGATTTTCCATTCAAGTGTTTAAAGGGTGGGGGAACAGACAAGCCCATGTTACTCTAGGAGATAATGATGTGTCATTTTGTTTGAGTTTCGGGATGATTCAACAGGAGCTGAAACCTTCCAATATCCAATATCTTTTCCACGAGCTAGTGTAAACCAATTGATTTTTTTGCGCTCGGTTCTTATTCTCTCGGTACGGTTCCAGGTGTTCGGTAGTGTCCAATGAATGAGGGCCTAGCCACCTGACTGTCTACTTCTAGTCAGTTGGTAGTTGGTTGTGAGTTTGTGTCTCGGGATTTGAATGAAAACGTTTGTTTCAGGGCATTAGGGTTTCTACATACTAGCAGCTATCACATTATCAGACCGGAGATCAGTTAGTTGCAATGTGCAGAATAATAAGGATGAAATTCCAATGCTAATATGAATTAAATTTCAGAACTAAGTAATATATAGATGATTTAGTTTATTAATTGGTAGTGAAGATTGTGAGAGGACTGAAGTGTGAGAAAGGGGGAGGAAACAGAGATAATAGGTAAGATAGATTAAGTAAGTGATCTGAGCAGATGGCAGTGATAACAACTAGCAGGTCTCAAGATATGCATCATGAACAGCTTGTCCAAGAGGGAGATGATAATCCGTATGTGAGTATGTGATTAACAAGTTGCTTCTTAAAGCTGTCCACTGAGTTTGTGGTGTTATACTTTTACGAAGATAACTCAATTGCTGAAATATAAACATCCATTATTGTACTTAATTCTGACAATAATTGTTTTACTGTACTCCTTTTGTTTACCTGGACTAAAGACTATCTCTCAAGCGCCGAACGTGTTCTTCTGACTCCGCTCTCCTCCTAGCTGGCTGGTAGCCGCTTATGTACCCTCAAGCCTCGATATTATTTCGATATCACGAGGGTAGCGATAAATATACTTCTTCATCCAGAATAATAGTTTCTTTAATTCCTGGAATATCTGGATTTACATTAGTAATTTCGCGAAGGAATATATTTATTCCTATAATTGGTGAGCCACAACTACGAATACGCATTAAATTCGGTGAGTCTGTAGTTTCTCTATCAATTTTTCCTACGATTTTATCCATTGTGTGATATATATATATATGTATTTTCTTATATATATATATATATTTATATTTATATATATTACAATTAAAACAACGTTAAAAAATGGTGGATAAATCTAAAAATGACGGTTTTTTAGCTGACTCGCAAATACAGGCTCTCGAATTTTGACCTGTCGCGTTTGTCCCCCACGAGCCAGAGGCCTGGTTTGCGACACTGGAATCTCAGTTTAGGATTCATCGCATCACCAACCAGCGGTATGTATTTGCCGCTGAAGTCCCTTCCTGGAGATCACATAGCCACAGTTCGTGAGGTCGTTCTCAACCCCACAGTTCCTGATGTATATGATCGTCTAAAACAGGAGGGGAGGAACGGTTGAGGACTCTGTTAGCACGCCACCTCCTGGGTGATCCTAAGCCAAGCTACCGCCTCACGCGCCTGCAATCATTGGCAGGACCAACAGCATCTGACTCTGACGTATTAAGCGAATAGTGGCTAGAAGCTTTACCAACCCACGTGCAGACGACTACCGCTCTGCTCAAGGATACGCCAGTTAACGAGGCTGCCCTGATAGTAGACTTACTTCGACCTACTATAAGTTAAACATTTTAACTGATAAATAATTAAATGACAAAATCTGTCATCAAATGACCAGTAAGTGGTTCCACCATATTTTCCAGATAGAAGTATAAACTGAGTGATTTCACTGCGCCCGTTTCTTGCTGTTTCTGTACAGTTCCAGGTATTTGGTAAGGTCCAATCGATGATAGTCTGGCCACTCGTCTGTACGAAATCTAGAGAGTTTTTAATCAACCTGTATGTCCTGAGATGTAAATAAATGATTTTGATTCAGAGTAGTGGGGTCTCTTGATACCGGCAGCTATCACATTATCAGACCGAGGATCAGCTAGTCGCAATATAAAGAATAATAAAGAGAAAATTCTAATACAAACAACTGAGCAAATAAATAAATTAGTTGGCTAGATGATAGTAGTACGGGCAGGAAAATATCTGGAGGTTATTCGTATTTGATAACTACATATAGGATTGGATGCATAGTGTAAGTATTCGTAAGGCAATTAAATATTTATAGGTAAAGCAGCTTACACACTGTGAAGTGGAAACCTACTCACGTGGATACAAAACCTGTAATGATTTATCACATTTTTGTGGTCGATGAATGGATTATGAAGTAGACTTACTGTCCTTTAATCAAAAGATGAGGCAAAAGTCACAACCCCATAGAACATATACTTGCTAGGAAACGCTAACCACAAAAAATAATTAAGACCATTTTAAATTTGCACTGCGTGTTGCGAGGTGCTGATGTCTCATGATGAAAGCCGAGTTCCTTCGGAAGTCATTAGTCCAGTGTCGCTTCTCACAAACGGAGCAACCATTAATTTAGGTACATGGAATGTCCTAATAATCTGTGAGGTCTGAAGAACTCCACAAGTTGCTGTGGAAACTAAAGGTTACAGCTTGTTGGGGCTTCGAATTAGTGAAACACACTGGACGCAGTTTGAACAACCAAGACTATCTTCAAGAAGGATGCAGTTATACTCGGTGTACGAATAAGAAAATGTCTCACACACACAAAGAGTATAGTAGGACACTTCTACGAAGGAAACGCAACTAATGAAAAGAAAACACTTATCGATGAACTCGTTTTGTTTAACTCTACTAAAAACACCCAATTACGCACAACCTTCTTTCTTGCGTTGCTACCACCACACATAACTTTTTGCGCGTTGTATCACCCACTTTCTCATTCAAATATATTCTTTACCCTGGATTTATTTGTATTTAATATGACGGGATAGTAATTAGTATTTAGTGGTGATTATAGTGAATCGCTAATTGGTCACCACTAAAAGAATGGAACAGATGCCGTCTAAACGGTCACACAAATCACCAATAAAATGTGAATATCAGGGGCCCAGGATCATCAAGACATCCTTCGTAACAAAGAAAGGGGGGATAACACTGAATATCATCAGGTGATACAGTTTCATCGACGATCATAATGAAGACGTTAGAGAGCAATTGTGTTGGAGGCTGCAGCGAGTGAGAGATTCACAAATCCATGTACTATCAACAAAGCAGTTAGAAGTGATACAATATTCCCCTGCAGACGCATACACTAAGTGACATTGGCTTTACCGGATCATACTGCAGAAAAGCACCAACAACTGAAGAAATCACCTTGATTATCAGACAAAAGAAGAGCGACTAAGGCGCAGAAACAGACAACATACCAGTTGAGGAACTGAAGGCAGACATAGAAATAAGTGCAAAGATGCACCACGCCTTCGCCATGAAGATTAGGAAAAAAACATCAACAGACTGGGTAGACGGGTACCTCGCCAGGATTTGGATGAAAGTACTTGGAGTTGAGAAGACAGATATAGTGTAAAAGGCTCGAGCGGTAGTTGCGCGTGCAGCTCCAGAACTCTAAAGTTTTTTATACATGAAGCAGCTTAAAAAGTTAGAACGCCTTATTCTATCATAATGTAGATTTAAAGACGATTTGATTATTTTGAGTAGAAAACTAAGAAATGATTTCGGATGTGATATACAATCTCCTTTTCTTCTTACTAGGTCAAGAGAACTTAGAGAACAAAAGGAGTGAGTAAGAAAAATGAGGAAGAACATTATACCCATTAAAAAAGGTTTACGCACTAAGTAATTTAATTCTAAACCCTGTTACTCGACGATTTGAAGTCAGAGCCTCCTACTGATTTGAACGAGGGGAGATTTGACACTCCTAGAAGCTTACTGGTTAAAGACTGCACAAACCGTAGGCATTCTGTTCGCAAAACACTAATCAGAGTAGGCAGCCTGTATACATCAATTTTCATTTTGATGATAATTCACACTTCGTGGCTGTTTAGTGCCAAGGCCTAATAACCTAGACCTAAGTCACATGGCACTGACAAAGAAGCTCGGTTTACTTGAAATTTCAAGGATATAACAAACGAAACCAGAAACAATCAAATCATCATGATATTGTGTGAATGTTAAGTACATAATTAGAACGCTTTGCGTCAAATAGGAGAATTTACATTGGACAAACGGTCATATAGAGATGGTACAACAGTGTGACGCATTCGAAACCTTGCTCTAACATCGACTAATTTCATTTCCCTATTTCTGGTTACTGCCCATTGATTTTTGTACTAAATGTAAGAACATTCTGTATGCTTACTGAGTCGTCAGCTCACTTTTTTTCTTGTTCTCTCCTCCTCCAGATAACCTCACACACCGCTTCACAGATACCCTCAGTGCACAAGGTACCTGCCAGCTAAACGCAACCTGACCAAAGTCTGAAGCTATAACAGCTCTTTCTGAATGATGTGAATAAATTCCTATATACCGGTATTTTCGTGAGACTATAAAAGAGGATTTATTATCTCGGTGATGTGTTTGTCAGTACCTTACCAGGTCGCTGGCAACTCAAGCGGAATTCATAAACCTGGTGAATAGTTGATATCATACAAAGTCAATGTTTTTATGATAAATAACTGAACACTTAAATTACTAGATATCCAAAGAGGATTCTACACGTTATGACTCAACGGAAGCTTTTATGAGAAAATGCAACGATACTCTTTTGCTTAAAACATTTTTCCGAAAATTCGTGCTTTGCTCACTGACTGCGAAGGGGACTAATTTTCATGGTGATATGATCGCAGAATTTCAAAGAGTTTGTTTAGATGTGCTATAGTGTTTAGATTTGTCCAATAAGAGACGTGCCAAGTGTACGTGATAATTTGACTTCTGACTCCACATGGATAAGGATCTAGTTTTCTGCGTTTTTGTGATTCTCACTACCTCTTTCAATGTTATACAAGCTAAGAAATATGATCCATCAAATTGTGAAGGTAACTTTACTCAGTAAATTCAATATTTCCATAGTTTGTATAAAGTTCCTCGGATCTTTCATCCAATCACTTGAACCTAGTGATTTAGATTCCACAGAGAAAATTAAAAGTGCATTCATGAAAAAGTGTAGCACTTCAGTTGGAAAGGATAATGACTTTGTAAGCAGTATACTTCATCTTTAATACTCTCAGTGTTATTACGTTGGTGGCCTTAAAACATCTGCAGCGAATACTGTAAATCGTCTTGTTGACCCAATTAAATGGAAGATGCCTGTGGAAAAGGTTTGTCAGAAGTTGTTCGAGCTGGACTCCCAAATTTGTGATCTAAGATATGGTAAGTGTGTTTTGCTTGATATAATTTTCTCCATCAGAAAAAGTAATTGATTTTAAGGAGTTTAACTTCGAAAAGTCCAAGGTGAAAGAGCTTAAAAAGATCATAGAGAAGTGGGGCTTAGAATGTCGTGGTTGTACTGAGAAGAGAGATTTTATCAACTTAATTAAGAGCAACATGCACAAGCACGATCCTGAAGCGGCAGCTTATCTTCAAGCAAGGGGTGAACTTTAAATTTTTCAATACTTTTTTTGTACAAATTTATTATTTATGAATTTTTTGTTTTCATAAGTTTTTCCACCTTAGTAAAATATAAATTTGGTCTTTAATGTCTTCGTTACTTCTGTTCTATAAAGTGAGTCTAGTGATGGGCATATCCACTTATAACTTTCCGAAAGGTACTTGTTTTTAGGCTAGCAATACTGATCTGGCTTTATTTTTAATGTGGGCGAACAGAAGATCACGTTATTTTTTTAAGAGTTGTAAGAAATAATACGGAAGTTAAAATAGCTCAAACGTCCGCTCATTTATAAGTTGTAAAACAGCATAGAAATCGAAATGCTTTCAAAACATAAAATAGAGTATGTAATATAGAATGGTTGGGTTAAGCCTAGAAGCACGAACTGAAATATTAGAAACTTGATTGGAGTTTAATTGAAGCAAAAAGCAGTCCTGCGTTATAAACTCAGTCAACTACAACGTAGAACTTTGTATGTACGCCCGTCAGTTCTATTCGCTACACAACATTAGCACAGAAACGCAATTGTCATTTCAAACCCCATGGTAGTATAGGTAGTATAAGTATAAGTAGTAATGGAGAAGATTAGAGTATGAAGATGTGATTCAAGAAGTATGATAAAATGAAATAAATTTAGAAAGAGATAAAATGCCATGGAATACAGATTAGAATTTGAAAAAAGGATGGATGCATCTGCGCCATCGCAAACCATTTTGAGCCATGTCATTCAAAGTCCCTGACCATCAGTTACTATTGTCTAGCGGACCTGAACCAGTTCAGTCATTCCGTTACAACTTAGAACTTCGTACGTAAGTACAACAGTTCAGGTTGCCATACCAAGATGTTAGGGGTTGTAATAAGGATTTGATTGTGACTAACTTGTTCTCACGTGCTGTTACGGGTATGAGGGTGAATGTCACTTCCTGGCTGCCTACACCATGGAAGTGCCCCAACGGTAAAGCTAACGTATTGCCTTCTTACTATCATATACATATATCTCTGAGATAATATACTCCACTTCATTCACTCGGTGCTTTAATCTGATAGGATATGGGCTTTACTTCCCCTGATCTATGGACTTGATTTAAAAACCTTAGGTGCTTCTCAGTCAAACTGAAGTTGAATCTTCTACAATAGTGCTGCTATGTAGCTATTCGAAATCCTACCGATTCACCAAATTCATATATCGCAGTACGACCCCGATACTGTTCCAAAATCTCTAATATATATCACAACACCGTTAGGTGAATTTGTTTATTATCTCGAGTACAAAAGGAAGGAAGGTAGTCTACATCTACTAACATGGCCTAGTCCACTTGTCAGTGACTTCTTAGGCTTGTGCCATGCTTTGGTTAGGTCAACTCTAGCTTTCTTCCAGTCTACTCCTACACCACAAAGCATCGTTCGTTGATGCAGTCAGTAGTTGGGCATATGTAACACTCCATCCATTGATCTACCATCCTTACCCAGCACCCTTTTCCTAACACCAACATTGCTTTCTCAATGGTACCAGGATACACAAGTAATGCATCAAAGACACCTATGGTCGAATAGTGGTAGCCTATGAATATCCTCTACTCTTACTGGCCATGTTTCACAGCCATATAGTAGGACGTAGCGAAGTTCTGCCCATTAGACTCGTCCTTTGATTAGTAGACGGATATCTCACCTACGCCACATGGTTTCTTAGTTTATAAAATTAGATACCGAGGATCTTTAACTGATCGTATGACGTTTTGTGTATTTAGGTTTATTTGTATCAGAAGCTTTGTTTACATCTGTCTACTTCGCACGTGTCGTGAATGTTTTGTTTATCCAGACCAATCAGTACAATGATTCTCTTTGAGATAATTACTGGATTGGAATGTTTATTACACTACGGATGCAAAGATGCATCCGTCTTTTAAATAAACGCTTACGCTCGTCTTCAGAGTGCTTTTAATATATTGCGGAATCCCTTAGAGAATTGTACTGATGTAAGAAGTGGTATTATATGTTTCACCATAACGCTATCCATTCAGCGTAAATACTGTTATCAGTCCATTAAAAAAATACGGTAAACGAAGTCACTAGTCCTTGTCACGGATCTGTCGTTTAGAATAGCACTAGGTATCTATATATTGTATTGTAGAGTTCTACCTTCACATCATTTACAAGTTTTAAGAACCATCTATGGAAACAACTAATTTAGACTTAGGTTTTATTTCTCTATTCCTCACAATTTTGTTGCTGATTTTCTTATCACTTCCTATCAACTCTACTTTCTAACATCTCATAGTTTTGTCCACTTGTGATTTGTCTTCATTTCTTTTTTCTCAAATCTTTCAACACTGGCTATCTCATTATATGTAAAAAATTAATCCAAGCTCTTATTGAAATGTAGTTAAAGTATGATCAGTAGCAAACGGTGTTAGCCTATTTTACGCTACGCAGATGTCCAATGAAGGTAGTTAGAAAAGGATTAGCACCCAGTTATTCTTTAAACTAAAGTCACAAATGTGGTCATTTGAAATATTCTAATTATTTACTCTTGGCCAGATACTTTCCAATTAGTTAGTTTTCAGTGTCTTTGAGTACAAGCACATGAATACTCGTTAATATTAGGGAAAAGTGGGGATGGAATATTAATTCGGCCCTGTACTTTAGAATAAAGTCATTGATCCGTGACAGTTAGTGAATTCATGTCAGACATCTTTAGGTTCTCTGTTATTGTCACGTTTGATAAAGGCTTCTCTCGTGTATATGTTGTATGAATGGAATCCACCGCTGGTTGGTCAAAGAACACTTTCTACGTTCGTACTAAAAACCTTCAAATGGGTATTCCAAAATAACATTTAAAATAGTCACTTCTAATGTCCATCTTCAACATGGAATTTAGATTCAATGATAAACTTTCTTGGCAACTTTGTAGCCTCACTGGCTCATCTCTTGGCAGATTTCTGTATTGTGAGCCTAGGAAATACTGTTCTTCAACGAACAGGTAGATGGATAGTTTATATTTACCCGCAATGATTCCTATTATTCTTAGGCAATTTTACTGACAGTGGAATTTATCAGCAATGATTTTATTACGCTATGTATGTGGCTGCGGGGTAATTAGACCAACGTATTTTCATCATTTACTGCTTCCAAACTTACTTTTAAATTAAAACTAACTATTTGATCAACCGTTTAACAGTGATTCAATTTAACTGAGTAAATATTTTGATACAAAGATACGTTTAGGCAGCAAGTAACTAATACGAGTGTTAAGTAACCAAAATGAGTTCATATTTGTCTAATTTAATAGCCCACTGCTTCTTGCATATTCACAGCAATAAAATAAACGAATGGAGGATATCTTCGTATCATATTATAACTATATTAAACAGAAGTTTTGGCTTATGCCTTTTAGGAAAATAAATATGATTAAAGCTAGTGTTTTGAATGTATAATATTTTTTATCCTTTTTTTTTACAAAGAATCTCTAAAAAACATTTGATTTTCTCAATAATAATTTCATAAAGTACTTGATCAGTTTCCAAAACGAAAAACAATTTCAATTTGGTAGATTTTCAACTGATTTACGACTTGAAAGTCACTTCACTGCATTTTCATAAACTAAAATAAAAGCATGAAAATGAAGCAATAACAATAATTATTCATATACTGTTTCCAAGTAGATTAAAAGTATTGTATAGTGAAAGATATTCAACATCAACTCTTGCCACTGACTTCCTAGCCGCTTCTTCTAATCCCAGACTACTACAAAATAACCCGAACAGAAGACAAAAGACAAAAGAAGCTTTACCCTAAAGTTAATTTATCTACAGAAAACAGGTTTATTTTTGGATTTGGTGATGAACATTATGCATGACAAATTAAGCAATCGTCCAATTAGCGTTTGACACAATCTGTCAATTTTCTAAAAGTCTTCATGGCATATGCTGATTGGACAGAATGTCTCTTAGTCACTCATGGATTAATACGATTGGTTCTCTCCACAAATTTAAACGAAATCAGGACGACAATATTGCAAAATACGTTGCTTTCCTTTCAGTTTTGCATGAAGTGGTATGTTTAGTTATCGTCAATCGATGGTGTAGTGTCTTAATTGAATTGCCGATCAATAGAGTTATATGTGGTATAAAAGAAGTTAGAATTTAAGTTTTAAGATGTTTCTTTTTTAAAAACTGAACAACTTGAGCTAATAGCTTCAAATGTTAAAATAATTTTATTGGTTTATATAGCCATTTTGTGGCAGTTTAGAAGAGGAAAGTGGATATGTGAGATAAACTTGCTTCTTAATGCTGCTTGTAGTTTTCGATCAATCAATCTATTGTAAAGTGAATACAATACAACCAACAATAGGGTATTTCGTACAACTTTTGATTAGAAGAACGTTGAATGAAGCGAAAAGAATGTGAATTCAATTATTCTATAACTTTTCTTCAGCTATTTACAACCCTAAAGACCATCATAGCAATCATTAAAAATATGGTGTACATACTTTATATCATAATATCAGAAAAGCTCTTATCAATGAAGGTGATGAAAAGAGCAATAAGTATGGAAGAGTTCTAAGGGATGTTTATAAAATTGAATATACGAATATTCTTAGATGAAAAGAAGACGGAAACAGAATTACTAAGACATAAAATGAAAGATCCATGTCATAGTTATATATATAAAATAAAATTAACTAACTGAATACATGTTAGCTAAAGAAGTAAGAAATCATAATTCGTTCCATGGAGAAAATAGATTTTGTAACAGACATTTGTAAATAAATTCACTATGACGGAAGAAGATTTATAACCGAGTCTTTCTGCATGCATAAATTTGGTCACGGCCACTGCTTCTACACAAAATTCAGTAAGTTTGATGACCTTTATCTCCTAATTCTCCTGACAGTGGACATGTTATGTTGACATCTCAATCTTTCAACATAATCAATCAATAAACATTATTTAAATGAAAAATATTCAACCATATGAACATCTGTTATCAATCTTTCTTACTTATTACAACTTCTCATTCATCTTAACTTGGTGAGAAATTTTTACAGATTATTGTGATATTAAAGTATGTGTTCACCTTATTTCTAATAGTTACCAACATTGTGTTTAAGTTATAAACAACTGAAAGAAACTGTTTAAGTTAAATAAATCGATATTCAAGTGACCCAGTTTCATTCAGTTTTCCTAAAACATAAATTTTATCGACAGATCTGACTTACAACTTAGGAGATTCAACCGAATTCTCTTTACAACAACTAACTTACTCAAGTACTTACTACTTACTTACGCCTGTTACCCCCAATGGAGCATAGGCCGCCCAACAGTTTTCTCCAACCAACTCTGTCCTGGGCTTCCCTCTCCAGTTCTGTCCAATGTTTGTTCATTCCTCTCATATCTTTCTCTATTTATCGGAGTAATGTATTCTTTGGCCTTCCACTTTTCCTTTTGCCTTCAGGGTTCCATGTGAGGGCTTGTCTCGTGACGCAGTTAGATGCTTTCCGCAATGTGTGTCCTATCCACTTCCACCGCTTCTTCCTGATTTCCTCCTCCACTGGAATCTGGTTTGTTCTCTCCCACTGTTCGTTGTTGCTGATGGTGTCTGGCCAACGAATCCGAAGTATTTTGCGTACACAACTGTTAATAAACACTTGTATCTTCTGGATGATGACTTTCGTAGTTCTCCAGGTTTCCGCTCTATACAGTAGAACTAACTTACTCAAGTAAAATAATGAAATGAAAAAATGTTTTGTTTGACGTGCTCACTCATGTTAATCATGTAGAAATTAGCTTAGGTCTGCTTGACTAAGACAATATCACTAAAGAAAAAGAAATTCTGAATTTTGATACTCGGAAATTTACCACTTTTTCTAAAAGTTTGTAATATATGTGGATGCGCACTGCTGAGGAGTCCCATACCAGGACGAAACAGCCGTCCAGCGCTTCCAGGTCTCTAATGATGGTCTAACATTGATCGGTTCATGGTATCAAAAATATATGAATGAGTATTAACAAAATGAAAAGATACTATTTCTCTCTCTATCTCCGTCTCTTTCTCCTCACCTTAGGTATACGTTTATTATTACTTTGTATAAATTCCATAAATGATTCATATCCATGGGTTTCTTTCATTTTCTCATTTAAATTTGTTGCTAATTCTTTGTATGATTTAATGTTTACATTAGAAAATTCATGTTCATTTTTCATCTTTTTTACAGCATCATCTTTGATAACTTTCCATTGTTTCGGTGGTATATACCAAGCACCATAATGTAATCTTTCAAAATTCTTAAGATTATAAATATTAACAATTAAAAGAAGAATTAAACAAGTGCATTACTCAGCATTGGTTAAGTAAGTAAACATAGTGTATGCTTGCCTATTAAATGCATCTGTTATACTGATAAGCACTATGAAGTATTGTAGCTTCCAGGTGATCATTTCATATCATAGAGTAATATATATATAAGAGTAATAATAATGATAATAATAGTTTTATACAGTAACATATGTTTAGTACAACAGAGAATTCTGAACACGGAATATTTCAGCAAGTGTCCTTTATAAAATCAGTAACTGCATTCATATTTTACAACTAAAAAATTCAGTTAACAAACTGTCTGTAATTAAAATGAAATGTCCCTTTTTTCATATGATGAGAATTTATACAAATTTTTAATTAGGAACATGTTTAGGGATATAAGTTTTTGAATAAGTCACCACTAACTAACCACCTGTTCGTCACATAGAGTATATTTGTGAAGGTGGATGGTTAGTATCAGATAGGATAACGCTTGTCAGGAGTTTGCAAGCTTTTGAATGTCTATCCATCACCATATTCATGATGACTTCAAAAGATTCGTCATAAACTCTGCCAACCACTTTCAGCATTCTTCTCAACAAGGCAGGATTTCTCAAAATTCCGAAGAAGAACAGTTGGGAACAATAAAGGACAATAGGCAATATGTGAGTTTACAAGGCGTAAAAGTAAATGTCCAGTAGTGCTAAAAATATGTAGCCTCTTCGTATGATAAATCAAACGAAAACTTGCCTTGATATCAGTAAAACATGAGCAGACCAACAGAGATCAGAAAAAAAACTTACACCAAGATTTATGACTTTTGACAACGTTAAATTTAGAATCGCCAATGGTACAAACTTCATGGGATTCCAACAGATCCCGTTCACGTCTGAGGTTAAAGTTAACAGCTTGACATTTAGAAAGATTAAGCGTGAAACCATTAACGACAGACCGTAGTTCAATGAGCGACAAGAACTATTATTGGGTCATTTAGCTTCCTTTCAAAGGTTTACTTGATAAAGGTTTGTATGGAACAACAATAATTACCATGTGTAAATGTGATATGATAATCAGAAATCTAGTCTCCAATGGAATGTTATGAAAACGCACTAATATTGCATTGCTAGTCAGAATTCGGTTTATGAGGACAAATAGTTTCATGAGCAATTGCATAACAAATAGAAACCTATGGATCGGTTTGTGAACATGAGTAACTAATCAAATGACTTTTGAAAGTGTTTTTACTTAATGAAAATCAACAAATGGTTTTGTCACCAGTTTACCGAATACGGGTATCCAGAAGGGTTGAATTTTAATAGTTCAGTTTTATTTGAATGGTGATGAAAAGGATTTTGTCATGAGTAATGGTAAGTGAATAGTTCGTATTAACCATATTCACGTAACAATATATAAAAGACACTGAATAACCTTGTTAATGGTTAGGATATTTTACTCAGTCTCTGAAACATAATTAGGTTAATTTAAGAGTCATTAGAACGATAACTTTATCGACAACTGTTTTCTTTGAACTTCAATCCTCATCTCAAAAAACGAATTTCGGTCTGTTTTGATAATTTGTTAAACCATCCAAAGTTTTATCAAATGTAAGGTCGATATCCACATTCTTATATGACGGACAGTAAATGAGTTCCATGGTTGTGTCTAAATTCTATTGATGACATCGGATATCTGGATCCTAAAATCACTAACGTTCTAAATGAGTTTTAATCATGTCTACTTTTATCTTAAGTATTTTGTACATCAATGTGTAATTTTACTGTATAAAACGACTCCTTCTTTTTGGCCAGTCTTCTAGAGGTTATGTATTCCCGCGGAAGACCCAAGGTCCTGGGTTCAAATCTTGCGAGTAGCAGGAGTTGTGGATGCTCACTGCTGATGAGTCCTATACCAGGACTAAACGGCCATCCACAGCTTCCAGGTTTCTAACGGTGGTCTGACAATGATTGATTGATGATTTCAATGTGTAAAAACATGGATCTCCATAACTCTGATTGAAAGTTTTTATCTTCTAATATCCGTTCATTTGAAAAGTGGTATATTAATAAAGCGATTTTAGTGAGCAATTATCACGTAGTCAATCAAACCAATTACATTAATCCACATATTCATAAGATTTTTCCTCAACTAAAACAGCTTACACAGTTACTACGCAACACTATGTTGTTTTGTTAAGCTTTGAAGACGTCTAATTTTAAAAGGAATTATCTTCTAATCAACTGACTTTTATTAATACTACAAATTTAGTGTTATAAGATGAATTTTGCTTGAAAACATCTGTTAATCGAAAAGAAATACCACACAATGCACGTATGATGCAATTAAAACAATATTTAACATATTGTTTCGTCACGTTGGTTTTGTTGTAATGAACTTAAGTGCGTTCAAGGATTCAAAAATACGTAGAGTGAAACGCCACAAATGGCTCATAGTAAAATACGGTCAGTTTTTGACTAAAAGCTATCTTCAGCATAGTTTGATGAGTCTAACCTTTATTGAAATATGGTTCTCTCACGTAAATGAATTAAGCAGAAATTGTCATATTATTAATCGATAAGTCGGTAATGAATGGTAAGACAAATTACATTTCTGATTCGTTGGTGATTCAAAGGTGTAGATGTAAGATGTAAGTAATGATTAGTTTACATGTAACTGACATCATAGTATTTTATGTGTTTGACACTATCACTTGAGTTAATATAAATGACATATTATATGTAACAATGAGAACAAATGAGTTAGCAAAAAACCACTCACGTTAATGGTCAGAGTTGAATGATAGAATGAAAACTACTCAATTTTAAAAAGTGAGTTGCATCTGATTGCATCATTCGTACCTTAAAGTTGTATTCTCATATTATATGTTTAGTACAAATAAGCAGGCAATCGGATTTTTAGGAGCCTGAGGCTATTCAGCTCAACAAACAGCAACCAGATGATTAGATTACTTTATTCTGGTTAGCCAAGACTGTAGTCTGCTGGATCGTAATCATTATGAACTAGTTGCAGAACTATTGGGAATGACAGAGTATTAGGAAGACATAAAACTATTATTTGAGGTTCCTGAACAGCGAGCACTGAAAATATTATACTAGTGTCAAACACAAGATTTTCATTATGAAAGAAATTCACTGAATAATGAAATGATCCATGTCAACAGATGTAGGCATCTTGGTTGAAGTTTTTGATAAAGTTGTAATCTATGATTGCAGATAATGGATAATATGCCTCAAAATGTATTACAACTGTATCAATTTTTACTTTCCCAAAACCTTAAAATCTGTTATTATTCCAAACTTTTTATTATTTATCTTACAATTGGATTTCTTTTGCTTAATTTACCATTAATAATATCATTCTGCTTTTGTTAGTTTCCTTGTCTTACTTTGTTAAAGTGAAGTATATCATCTCTGATGGATACGTATCTGAGTCAAACCCTACAAGTGTTTATAAGTAAATGATTAAGTTGAGATGTTGGAGAAAATCTGTAGCTCAGGTGGATGATTGTGGTGGTGCTTCTTTCTCTGAGCTGGATATTTCGGTTGTTAAGCTTTCATTGTTCTTCTGAACAACATAATTAGCACAAACTTCAGATGGAAGTGAAGCATTCGAATTTCTCCACGTTTAACCTGTAGCTTGTTCTGCTAACCTCGATCTTGACTGGTTGCTGTTGACCTTAAACCTATCGTTGTTTTCACCTTTATTTTGACTGTAACCCCTTTTTGATCAGTTTCTTGATCCTATGTCACCTAGGATTTTTCTGATTGGTTGACAGATTGGGTCAATGTCGATGTGTTTGTTGATTGTTGTTGATTAACCTGAGCGCCAAGCTTCTAAAAATCCTCTGGTGTTCTTCGTCCTCCCGCTATCCAGTATTTCGAAATTGTTCCAATCGAATGTATGTACATAATTGTCGGTGCGTATTGATATAAGCGACGAATCACCATGGCGTTTAACTATGTGGTGTTTTTCAGTCTGAGCAATTTATTTTGTAGATGATATTTGGTTTTGATGATGTTGTTCAGACAAACAATGAAAGCTTAAGAACCAAAATACCCAGCTCAGAAAACGAAACACCACCACAAATGACTAAGTTGATCAAAAATCACCTGAGTAGACTGAACGCCCGTTTCAAATAATGTTTATTGTTTAAACGGGTAGATTTCGTGAAGAAGTTCCATATTTGAGTAGAACAAAACACTGAATAAATAATCAAAGTTTCTTCTTAAATACTGATAGTTTGTCAAAACTTTGTACGACTGGTTAACTGAAGTCGGATTTATAGTATACTACACTAAGAAAAGCAGTTTGGTTAAGGAACATAAAATAACTAACGCTTGATAAACCGAATTCCAATCTCTACTTATTATCTTAACCTTGGCGTGGATCACTCCATCATTCCATCATATACAACCAACGCTTCACTGATATCGATCGAAATAGGTTGATATCTGCCCATACTTTTGGAATTCGGTTAAAGTAAGTAACTTTTAATTTTGACTTAGCCAATAACTTTGATTTTTAAATTCCATCTGACTATTCGTAAATAAACTGTGTCTACAGAACATATTGACATTACGGCATACATGTAGTTTTCAGACTAAAATCCCTATTATCCTGTTATCGTTAGTTTAGTCTTAATTTTAAGAACTATTAGTACATCTTCAGCAGGTATTTTCGAGTTGGTAAGTTGGACTTTCTTTATGCTTTATTCAAACTTGCACTTAATTCCAGTAAATCTGTTTGTTATTTACATAGAAATAACTACTGAGTATTATCAAATGAAGAATCTTTTGGAAACAGAGTAAAATTATTATCTGCATAACATCAGTTTAGAACTCTAATAACTTGAATAACACCGACTCCATAAGGATTAGAAACCCAGGAACTTGCTGTTTTGAAATGGTCATGTTATCGATCACCATTTTTGTAGAAATTTAAGTCATTGATTTCTAACTTAATTTAAATTTCAGCATAAATCCAGTTTCATTCAATATAATCCGTGAATGGCCTTCTGTATTACTGACTTGGCTTACTTCATGCGATAAAGTGCTTAACACTAAAAGAAAATCACCAGCAAATTAAGTTTATTACGAATGTATTGTGCCCGGTTAAAAGAGGGATTTTTCGAGTGCACGGTTTATGAAATCCTCAATAAACGTCATTGTTCGTGCTGATATTCGATCGCTCAAAGTAAATTTTAACTCTTATCTGCCGAAGCTCTAAGTAGTTAATTCCACTAGTCCACATACAGAAAGTGTAGTTCAAAGGTGAGTACATCGACTAGAACTTGTTTGTGCAGTCACTATTAATACACAGTAGTGGAGGAATTATAACATTATATTAGATTCGTGAATCCATGTTGATTGGAGATTGCCGGTTGGAGGCCCACACTCCACCAGAAGTAACAGAAGAAAACAAGACGGTTTATAAAGTCAATGACTTTTCTAATGGGTAGACTGATGTATAAGATGTTATCTGTAAGAGCTCCAGATCAGTAGTTTTGTAGGTTAAGAAACCGCTATGGTTAATACCCTATTTAAATAATGGTAAACTGATTAGCTATGCCTAATACTGTTACATTAAAGTTATTATAACATTGCTATTATATCCGGATGAAGACTGAAGTAAATGGTTACTTCAGAATCCAGTTTATGAATTGTTGTTTATACTGTACGATAATTACTAAGTAACTGCATTATTATCGAAATATATTCCCTGTATCTTGAGCTCTTGACTAACTCATTGAGTATAGTAGTATGATTTATCATTCCCAGTCTCCTCTTCTCATGGCCACCTTCGGCTCATTCATGTATAGTTGTTAATTTCCATTTATTGGTGCACTGTGCTCTATTTTTGTGTGTAATTTATTAACGAATGTTTGCAATATAGTATGCAATCTTGGAACGATGGTAATTGGTCTTTGTTTTTCTTCTTCTATTGGGGCGTCTTTCGAGCATAGAGTAATTAGTCAAGTCTTCCGTCCTTATTCTACATTGGTTACTGAAAGGTCATTTGCGGATTGGTTCATGAAAGGATATAACAAATTGGCGATAGGGATTTTCAAAAGAAACAAAGACATAAGATTAACGACTGGCCGAAGATATAATTGGTCAAATCTATAAGCCATAACAATTTCATGAACAAACAGACTACAGATAGTTGTAGTTGTTACCTTTTCTTGCCTTCTAGCTGCATCTGATTTAATCGTACGTGGTAAACTCTTTGAATCAGTTAAAAAGTTCTTATCACAAAGTAATTTTGGTGGTTCTTCAATGCGATCTCTTAATTCATATGGTAAATTAATTAATTCCACAACATTAATCGGTGTTGATACTGGCGGTTGAGCTTCATGTGTTCCAGCAAATAAACTTGCTAATGTTGTCGGTTCTGGATTGTCAATTGAGGAACCATCTAAATTTTTAATAAATTCACAAAATTCCAATGTCTCCTTTTTAATTGATGGATACTATGAAAATGAAAAAAAAAAGAAATCGGAAGTAATAATCTTATTGTAAAACGGAATACTTGACAATGAAACGCTACATTTTTAAATTCTTCGGTTAAATTATAAATTGATTATCAAAGAAAATTGAGAGATAAATACCAGAATGTTCTCATGATGTGTGTTAATTTACTGACTGAACTACTTCTGTTAAGTTTATCATAAGAAATATCACTCACGGAAAGATCATTCAATAGTTCGGAGTGGTTAATGTTTAAATAACCACGAGACCTAATACTTCTATAAGTATGTATTGTGAGACATTAAATCATAAGTTACAACAAATGGCTGAAAATCTGTAACTTAATAAGGAAGCCATTGTTATGTTATATAAAGCTTTGAAAACAAACATTACGGAGTGGGATGTATGTAATTTATTTTGTATACTGTAAATTTGGAATGCACACACAATACTTCTAAGAGAAATGTACATCAAATCAATTCAACTGTGTGGCGATTTAAAAATCCCCATAGTATATTGAAGAAGAAAAGAAGTCTTCATGTACAGTGGTTTTATTTAACTAGAAAGTTTATAAATATACTTCAATGTTCTTTTTATCTAATGTGATACAAAAATTATGGAGTTATGGATGTAGACACCATTAGTAACAACCTACTGTGGGAGAGATCAAGCCAGATTCCAGTGGAGGAGGAAATCAGAAAGAGGCAGTGGAAGTGGATAGGACACACACTGCGAAAAGCACCGGAGTGCGTTACAAGACAAGCCCTCACATGGAACCCTCAAGGTCAAAGGAAAAGAGGAAGGCCAAGGAACACATTACGCCGAGAAATAGAGAAAGATATGAGAAGAATGAACAAAAACAGGAAAGAACTAGAAAGGGAAGCCCAGGAGGACAGAGTTGTTTGGAGAAAACTGGTGGGCGGCCTATGCTCCGTTGGGGTTAACAGGCGTAAGTAGGTAAGTAAGTAAACACAATGCTTGTACTATACTTTGATTTTGTTGTTCGTAGAAACGAATTTGTTACCATAACTAAATGAGGTATTAACAAAGATCATGATTGAAAAAGACCTAGATTCAAACAAATTATTGGCTATGTAATCCTTATTGTATACACACTATTCTGATCACTATTCGATATCAGTTGATTTAGGAAAATAATTTAAAAGAGTCTATATGACCATATTTAATAAATTGTTCAGCAAATGAGCAGATGACTGATCGATAATTATGGTAAGTAATGCTCGAAAATGTGATTCGAAAAAGCAAATTTCACGGAGTTGAAATGACTTACTAATGAGAAATACACATTTAAATATCCAAAGCACACCTAAAAATCATGATGTACCAGTTAGAAAATATTCAGTAAATTAGCTAAACTTCATATCAACACAGATGTTTTCTTGATTCTCATATTTGGTTCACATTAATTTCTTTAATTTGATAATCAATAACTCAAAACAACAAAGAAATTCTGAACAGGATCTTTTAAAATCCATTATCAGTGACAATAAAGAAATCAGTTCTCGGTTAATCTGGTCAATTCTGTGACTAATTTAGCATCGTCAGAAACTCTCTATTTATAATAGACTCTGTTTCATTGGAATTAACGTTTTTGTCTACTGCTTTACATTTTCAGATTAATAAACTGAAATGCACAGTTCGAATATCTCTTTAGTCAAACGAATTACTATTTTCCAGTTAATAGACATAGTGATTGATAGTCAAATTTATAATTATTACTCTTATTATTCACATTACGGGGTTGTGAAGATTGTTTATGAGGTTGCGCAACTCCGTGAATTGATCAAGTTTAAAAATAACACCGTTAGATACCGGCTCAGTGGTCCGATGGTTAGGCGTTCGTGCACAATACCGAAGGTCCTGGGTTCGAATCTTGCGGGATGCGGGAGTCGTGGATGCGCACTGCTGAGGAGTCCCATACCAGGACGAAACGGCAGTTCAGTGCTTCCAGGTTTCTAATGGTGATCTAAAATTGATCGATTCATGGTTTCGAAAATGTGTATCTTATTACTGAGTTAATTATATGACTCAGTTCAATGAGGAAGACAAACACAATGACCTAATGTGAAAATTTATTTCACATTTAAACACTAGATATGAAATAACATGTCGATAAAAAAAGTATCCTATATAGATGTATTTTATAGTGATTAATAGTAAAGTTTAGCTAACTATGAATTAAAAGTATCTTTATAAATTAATATATAAAGCTGACTAGGTGATAATATAATTACTTGTCATACTGAACAAATAATACCATTCTCGATTGATGTATAATCGCGCGATCGACTTCTTTTTAACAATTATCAACTAATTTCAAGGTTTCTAAATATGATAAATAACAATCTTGAGATGTAAAAATTCCAAAGCTTTAAAATATCAATGTAATGGAATAGATTGTCATAGTCCTTGAACAGGTTCAAATATGGCTGTCATAAAAATTGTGATCATCAAGGAGTAATGTTATCTGATTTTTTTTGTGTGTTAAAAACATGTTCATGACAGGGGGTTCATTTTGTATGATATTAGAAAATTAAAAAGAGTGGTTATAACAAAAGTGTTACCATTGAAAACACAATTCAACTCTGTCAAACCTATTTTATGTAAAAACCCTTAAATTGATCTTGAATATCTTGAGCACTATAACTGAATAATGTCAACAGGATCTATTAAGAATTCAGCCAGACCCAACCAGTTGAAGTTTGCATTATAACCGGAATCAGTTGTTGGAAGCTTTTGGTGAAGGTTCAGCATCTGTCACAATGGTGTAAATGCATTCACTCTTTATCTTCCCTCAAGATTTTAATTTTCAATATTCATTAATGCACATTTGTTCATTGTTTTCTCGCATCATATACTCATAGTTGAGTATTTCTTATTATCTTTGTTATGATATTATTTTCAGTAATTTACTAATCACCTTTGTAAATTCATTTCGTCATGTTGTTAATGAGATATGGTAATTTAGGTCAATACACATACTGATGCCACGTTCTACGTTAATAATTATGAATGGCTGAAAAGATACACTTTGACTTTAGTTAAGTTTAATGATAATTTATTAGAGATTTTCTTCACTAACTTATATTCAATAATAGATTCAGTCAATAAAATGAATTACCAAATGTGTTGACTATCTAATTAGTGCTTAGTTAAAACATCAACCTATCAAACTAACTTTATAGTCTCTGATGATTGAAAAGGTTGATAAATGAATTGATTTAAATGAAAAACAACTAACTTCTATGAACATTTCTGGTTCAATAGAATCTTCACCTTCAGCTTTTTGTTTGTTTGAATTAACTGAAGAGTGTAACTGATGATCAGTTCTAAATTTTTTTTATAAGACAAAAGAAAAATGCTAGTTAATTAATGAACACAATTGCATCTCCTCAATTCTGATCGAATTATCTACACAACCAAAACGATTCGCCTCCAACGGAGGGCCAACAATGAAAACGTGCGCGTCGTAGACACGTTAACAATTCAATCGTTCATGCCGTAATGTTGAGTTTTAAAAGTGAAACTCGTAACATCTTTCCTAGTTTGTTTATTTTTTGTTCACAAATCAGTTATGATTACGATTTCCATTTTTTCAGAATAGTTATTCGCGTCTACTACAATCCCCTCCACAGTTATCATATGGATCAAGCGGATCTCTTATATTTCTGACCCCATTAAATCACCACCGTGAACTTTAAAATATTACACAATCGTCTTGGGTTATTTGAAATGTCCGGACAATTTTTATAATGTACATTCATTGCACTTTTCAACAGAATGATGCCGGTATTTCACATCAGAATACGTACAATTATACAGTTTCAGTAAATATTATCAAAGTGAAAATTTCATTCACTAAGTAAGCTTAATTTTTTTCTTCTGTAGTACAACAAGTCTATTTCATTAGAAAGAAAATGTTGATTTTGTTGATTTAAGCTATCTGATCATATAACGTTTCAGATAATTTATATGACATGATAATATGTTCTCTTTGTGAATCTTCAAGAATGTATGATTTATTTGTTCAAGTTTCATTTTTTCTGTCATGGGCTGATTTTTTAGGAGCTTGTTCTTATGATTAAATAGACCGATCGCTAATACCACACGAAAGAGCAATCAGTTTGAATATTGATTTTCATGACCTTGTCCCCGAGCTAACCAACGACACTCCAACGAGCACAAGAAGAAATGGATCACTGCTCCATTCTTTTTGTTCCTTTATCCGGCAGCTTCTTCCCTGCCTTATCCGTTGATCCAAGAACACAGTAATCACCACCACTATATAAATCGTATGTTTATGTGTAGACATACGAGACAGCATCACCCCAATAAGTGGAAAATAAAGGTTACGCATGAACAAATCAAAAGTGGCTGCGGATAAAAAAGACTGGAAATAATGGACTAGCAACAGGTTGAGAATAATAAATCATAAAATATTAGTTAATGAGTTGATTGGGATTTCCTGATACTTAATATTTATCCAATAAGCCTATATACAATAGTAATCAGTAAACTGGTTACTGTTACGCATGCAAGTAAACACGTTATTTGATATACTGGAATTACTACGAGTTTACATTAGTCGGAAAACTAGAGTGAGGATCGAGGATCCGGTGACACGACAGGCTACTCTAATCCGATTGTCCCAACCCCCATTGAGTGAAAGAAGAAGACCACATTTGAAGTAGAACATGTATTCTACAAGCATCCAGAAAGTACTAGGTCCGGGTCCAGAGGAAAATCAGGATCCCGGACTAAGGATCCGGGTCCTGGTCATAAAACGTTACAGATAATGCGTATTTATGCAGTTAGATCGAGTAAAAAACAACACTGAATGAAGTCTGTGACATTCACAGTCAGGACTGACAATAAGAAACAACATTGAAGTACGTGAGATTGATATCTAGGACGACCACAGTATTGACCAGTAGGAATTAACCAATAGGAATTGACCAGCACGTCTCTAAGGATATTGGATGAATATCCTAAGAGTTACTCAATTTTCGTTTGGATATACCACTTAAAAGATGTGCTAATTCTTCAAATAATATTAATTCCTACAAAGGATTTTTCTAGAGAAACTGACAGAGTTTGGATCATGTCGGAGGCCAAACAATTTCAACTGATAACACTAGTCGGCTATTGCTGTATATCTCAATTAATTCATTATCCAGTGGTTTGAAAATGTTGTATTCATTATGACTATCAAGGAACATGTATTCAATCTTCGTGAGTTGAAATAGTTATCGAGCATCTTCTGGTTTCCAATGATTCTGCAACTGAAGTTATTAGATTACAAAAATCAACTTCACATTTAACTAATCCGTATAAACCAATCAACTTATCATAAATATTACTTGCTATGAATTTAACTTACATTAAACCACCATTTGATTGATTAGATGACTTTGTTCTTGTTTTATTTTGAACAGTTTCATTAATATGCTGGTTTTTTGCTATTTTGACTAAATCCATTAGTTTTTCTTTATTTGGCCGATCTAACAAATCAATTACTGCCTTGGACACCTTGATCACAACAAGTATAAAATGAACATTTATGTCAAACTGATAAAAAAAAGTTGAATCAATGGTATTTTAAATTAAACCGCTAAATATTTTAAACTGACTATGAATTTGTCGTATGGATTAGAATCATTTAATTCATTTATTTTGAATACCGTCGCACTGAATGAAACTTGATTGTTTATATTGTTCTCAGGAGTCCCAGCAGAAAGTAATAATACTTTTAAACAAAGATGAAGTAGTGTAAAGGTTTAGTCAGCTGCAACGTAGAAATTCGTACGTAAGTATATCAGTTCATGTCGCCATACCACATTAGCACAGAGACGCAATTGTCAAGTCCAATCCCATAGTGGTAGAGATAGTAGAAGTACTACTGGTAAAGGAGATTAGGGTTCCAAGATATTATTGAAGAAGTATAATTCAGTGAGATAAGTTTAGAAAGACAAGGGAAGAGGTGTTGAAGAATCCAGAAGATTATGATTTGAGAGAACAGATAGAGTGGATCCATCTGCACCATTGCAAACGATTTTGAGCCATGTCGTTTAAGGTCTCTAACCAACGGCGACTTTCGTCTCGTGGACCCCAAACAGGTAGTCTACATCTATCAACATGACTCAGTCCACTTGTCAGTGTCTTCACGGATTTGTGCCATGTTTTGATGTGGCCGCTCCTAACTTTCTTCCAACATACTCCTAAACCACAAAATATAGCTCGTCGCGACCTTCGGTGGTCGGGCATTCGTAACACATGTCCCAACCACCTCAACTGTTGAAGTTTCACCACTTCATATATTGACCTACCACCCTTACCTGTTACTCGTTTCCCAACGGCAGCATTGCTTACTCCATTGTCCTAGGATACATGAGCAATGCTTCTAAGACATCTATGATCAAATACTAGTAGCCTACGTATATTTTCGCATCCATATAGGAGAACGGAGCGAACCTTTGAGCAGTACACTCGTCCTTTAGTAAGCAAACGGATATCTCGCCAACGCGATAAATGACGTAAATTGGAGAAAGCCAACCGAGTTTTCTGTATCCGTGCTGAGATTTCTTCAGTCACCAGGCCATCAGCACTTATGAGACTCCCCAGATAAGTGAAGCGATCGACACGCTCGACTATCGTTAGAAGTTGAAGAGAACTGTTTGAAAAAGATCAAACTGTGACTGTTCAGCAGTTTACGTCATATCTAAGAGTATATAAAGATGCTAATGTCTAGTTTCTTATTTTAGTTTCATCACATTATATACTTTTGAAGCTAATAAGCAGAGCATCAGTAAAGATCAAAAGTAGTTTACAACGAAAGTAAGAAGAACGGTGACGTTTCAGTTGTTTTATAAATGACTAGGTTTTTTTCAAGATTCATAATCAGTTTTCCGATCTTAGTATGGATAGTGAACATCACTATTCTAACTGTGCATTACTTCATCTTATAAGTTTCTTTCTGAACCTTCTTCGTAACCGTAATCAGTTTTCTTAAAAATTCCTTATCGCTTACAAAATCATTATTATTAAATTCGCTGATGAGTTAATTTGAAAATCATCATGGTCTCTGTAGTTGTATGAATAAATTAGGCGTAAAATTCGTCACTTATTTGAGCATTACTACTTTACTAGGTCACTTTTGATTCATTGGATCACAAGTAAAGTAATATGTTGCTGAGTTTACTATAAACGAAGATAACTGTAGAGGAAAATTATTGATTTAAGCATTATGAAAAATCTGTGTGTTGAAAGTTGAGCATTTAATACGTTTGCTATTTCTATTTCTACTGTTTAACAACTGGAAGAACATTTCTTATCGATTTCTCTATGTAACGAAACAAGAGTGCTGGAGATAAACTTCACATTATTACTTCATCACTAAACTGTACACATTTTGGAATGATTTTTATTGTAGAGTGTGAATTAGTGGTATGAATTTTGCCATGTTGGGGGGATTTTTATTTCATTATAACTGACTGCACTACACTTGGCACCTCTATAGCAGGATAGAGTAATATTTCTGACATAGAAAGCTTTTCATTGTTCATGGCTTTCTGTTTGTAAACTTTTAGTGGGCCTTGCAAATAGTAGAAGCTTTGAGGCAAAAATAATAATTCCAGCTTCATTCTGGTTGGTTTTCAAGTACAACGTCAGAATGGTAAACGACAGTGGAGTTTAGCCCCGACCAATGAGTAAAGTATATATATTAATATAAATGAGTTTACAGTGTTCGCTTAAGAAAATCACGATGCCTTATCAGCAGTGGGGATTTTCCATAGTCTAACAAATGTTATCCTATTAAACTTTAATTTCAAATACAGATATTAAATACATTTATAAGTTTTACTTGTTTGCTTCTATTAAACAACTAGGTGACTTAATATATAAATGAAGATCTAGGTTTCACTAATGATCTAAAGAACACCAGAGTTCGAATAAATATATTATCTCTTCACTAGCTTACTTAAAAGGACTAACATTGTTAAGTTTAACTCAATTCTAGCTTAATTTTCCAACATACAGTTCATGGTTGTCATTATATGCCGATATGAAATACATTTAATGTTACTCGTTTGATGTTGTTACGAAAACTTACAGAAATTGGTAAATACTGAACCAAATATGGAAATAATAATAAAGGATGTTTCAATAACTTGCATTCCAATTCATTGAGTTTTGCAAGTGGGTTTCTAGTCTGAGTATTGTACTGTTTGGCATATTGGTTTCGGGATCGTTTGAAATTTTTCTCATTGTTAATTATGACTGGCCCTACTGACTGAATAGACTTTTAAAAGAAATACAAACATAATTAACATGGTATGTTGTGTGTATTTGAATGAGCAACATTGTACCGAATGACAAACCAAAAGAAAGCTGTTTTTGAATATTGTGTTTTATTTCATCGATGGCTTTAGGTGTAAGCATAAGCTATTAACTACTTCAGAGTAGGTTTGTAGATTTTTGAGTCGGGTGAGTTCACATACAAGCACAAATTTCTATGGATAAAAGAAATTCTGTCTTACTAGCAGCTAACCTTCACTCCATATTTTAACTTTTTCTATTATTTAACTTATCAAGGCTCATTACTTTTAGATTAATGTATATCACATTATTTCTGTATTTCGATTGCATTAATTAATGACGAATATGGTTTACATAGTTAACTGCAATTGTATTTTACGTTTTGAATTTTTGAGTGAAAGTATTTTATTTTACATGAAACTAGGTTGGCATTAGGAACGAGTGATTTAATCATTTTAAAACTTTTAGTTACGATCTTAGAAAATAGATCGTAACTAAAAGTTTTAAAATGATTAAATCACTCGTTCCTAATGCCAACCTAGTTTCATGTAAAATAAAATACTTTCACTCAAAAATTCAAAACGTAAAATACAATTGCAGTTAACTATGTAAACCATATTCGTCATTAATTAATGCAATCGAAATACAGAAATAATGTGATATACATTAATCTAAAAGTAATGAGCCTTGATAAGTTAAATAATAGAAAAAGTTAAAATATGGAGTGAAGGTTAGCTGCTAGTAAGACAGAATTTCTTTTATCCATAGAAATTTGTGCTTGTATGTGAACTCACCCGACTCAAAAATCTACAAACCTACTCTGAAGTAGTTAATAGCTTATGCTTACACCTAAAGCCATCGATGAAATAAAACACAATATTCAAAAACAGCTTTCTTTTGGTTTGTCATTCGGTACAATGTTGCTCATTCAAATAAACACAACATCCCATGTTAATTATGTTTGTATTTCTTTTAAAAGTCTATTCAGTCAGTAGGGCCAGTCATAATTAACAATGAGAAAAATTTCAAACGATCCCGAAACCAATATGCCAAACAGTACAATACTCAGACTAGAAACCCACTTGCAAAACTCAATGAATTGGAATGCAAGTTATTGAAACATCCTTTATTATTATTTCCTTATTTGGTTCAGTATTTACCAGTTTCTGTAAGTTTTCGTAACAACATCAAACGAGTAACATTAAATGTATTTCATATCGGCATATAATGACAACCATGAACTGTATGTTGGAAAATTAAGCTAGAATTGAGTTAAACTTAACAATGTTAGTCCTTTTAAGTAAGCTAGTGAAGAGATAATATATTTATTCGAACTCTGGTGTTCTTTAGATCATTAGTGAAACCTAGATCTTCTTTTATATATTTAGTCACCTAGTTGTTTAATAGAAGCAAACAAGTAAAACTTATAAATGTATTTAATATCTGTATTTGAAATTAAAGTTTAATGGGATAACATTTGTTAGACTATGGAAAATCCCCACTGCTGATAAGGCATCGTGATTTTCTTAAGCGAACACTGTAAACTCTTTTATATTAATATATATACTTTACTCATTGGTCGGGGCTAAACTCCACTGTCGTTTACCATTCTGACGTTGTACTTGAAAACCAACCAGAATGAAGCTGGAATTATTATTTTTGCCTCAAAGCTTCTACTATTTGCAAGGCCCACTAAAAGTTTACAAACAGAAAGCCATGAACAATGAAAAGCTTTCTATGTCAGAAATATTACTCTATCCTGCTATAGAGGTGCCAAGTGTAGTGCAGTCAGTTATAATGAAATAAAAATCCCCCCAACATGGCAAAATTCATACCACTAATTCACACTCTACAATAAAAATCATTCCAAAATGTGTACAGTTTAGTGATGAAGTAATAATGTGAAGTTTATCTCCAGCACTCTTGTTTCGTTACATAGAGAAATCGATAAGAAATGTTCTTCCAGTTGTTAAACAGTAGAAATAGAAATAGCAAACGTATTAAATGCTCAACTTTCAACACACAGATTTTTCATAATGCTTAAATCAATAATTTTCCTCTACAGTTTACTTCGTTTATAGTAAACTCACAAACATATTACTTTACTAGTGGTTCAATGAATAAAAAGTGACCTAGTAAAGTAGTAATGCTCAAATAAGTGACGAATTTTACGCATAATTTTTTCATATAACTACAGAGACCATGATGATTTTCAAATTAACTCTTCAGCGAATTTATTAATAATGATTTTGTAAGCGATAAGGAATTTTTAAAGAAACTGATTACGGTTACGAAGAAGGTTCAGAAAGAAACTTATAGGATGAAGTAATGCACAGTTAGATTAGTGATGTTCACTATCCATACTAAGATCGGAAAACTGATTATGAATCTTGAAAAAAACCTAGTCATTTATAAAACAACTGAAACGTCACCGTTCTTCTTACTTTCGTTGTAAACTACTTTTGATCTTTACTGATGCTCTGCTTATTAGCTTCAAAAGTATATAATGTGATGAAACTAAAATAAGAAACTAGACATTAGCATCTTTATATACTCTTAGATATGACGTAAACTGCTGAACAGTCACAGTTTGATCTTTTTCAAACAGTTCTCTTCAACTTCTAACGATAGTCGAGCGTGTCGATCGCTTCACTTATCTGGGGAGTCTCATAAGTGCTGATGGCCTGGTGACTGAAGAAATCTCAGCACGGATACAGAAAACTCGGTTGGCTTTCTCCAATTTACGTCATTTATCGCGTTGGCGAGATATCCGTTTGCTTACTAAAGGACGAGTGTACTGCTCAAAGGTTCGCTCCGTTCTCCTATATGGATGCGAAAATATACGTAGGCTACTAGTATTTGATCATAGATGTCTTAGAAGCATTGCTCATGTATCCTAGGACAATGGAGTAAGCAATGCTGCCGTTGGGAAACGAGTAACAGGTAAGGGTGGTAGGTCAATATATGAAGTGGTGAAACTTCAACAGTTGAGGTGGTTGGGACATGTGTTACGAATGCCCGACCACCGAAGGTCGCGACGAGCTATATTTTGTGGTTTAGGAGTATGTTGGAAGAAAGTTAGGAGCGGCCACATCAAAACATGGCACAAATCCGTGAAGACACTGACAAGTGGACTGAGTCATGTTGATAGATGTAGACTACCTGTTTGGGGTCCACGAGACGAAAGTCGCCGTTGGTTAGAGACCTTAAACGACATGGCTCAAAATCGTTTGCAATGGTGCAGATGGATCCACTCTATCTGTTCTCTCAAATCATAATCTTCTGGATTCTTCAACACCTCTTCCCTTGTCTTTCTAAACTTATCTCACTGAATTATACTTCTTCAATAATATCTTGGAACCCTAATCTCCTTTACCAGTAGTACTTCTACTATCTCTACCACTATGGGATTGGACTTGACAATTGCGTCTCTGTGCTAATGTGGTATGGCGACATGAACTGATATACTTACGTACGAATTTCTACGTTGCAGCTGACTAAACCTTTACACTACTTCATCTTTGTTTAAAAGTATTATTACTTTCTGCTGGGACTCCTGAGAACAATATAAACAATCAAGTTTCATTCAGTGCGACGGTATTCAAAATAAATGAATTAAATGATTCTAATCCATACGACAAATTCATAGTCAGTTTAAAATATTTAGCGGTTTAATTTAAAATACCATTGATTCAACTTTTTTTTATCAGTTTGACATAAATGTTCATTTTATACTTGTTGTGATCAAGGTGTCCAAGGCAGTAATTGATTTGTTAGATCGGCCAAATAAAGAAAAACTAATGGATTTAGTCAAAATAGCAAAAAACCAGCATATTAATGAAACTGTTCAAAATAAAACAAGAACAAAGTCATCTAATCAATCAAATGGTGGTTTAATGTAAGTTAAATTCATAGCAAGTAATATTTATGATAAGTTGATTGGTTTATACGGATTAGTTAAATGTGAAGTTGATTTTTGTAATCTAATAACTTCAGTTGCAGAATCATTGGAAACCAGAAGATGCTCGATAACTATTTCAACTCACGAAGATTGAATACATGTTCCTTGATAGTCATAATGAATACAACATTTTCAAACCACTGGATAATGAATTAATTGAGATATACAGCAATAGCCGACTAGTGTTATCAGTTGAAATTGTTTGGCCTCCGACATGATCCAAACTCTGTCAGTTTCTCTAGAAAAATCCTTTGTAGGAATTAATATTATTTGAAGAATTAGCACATCTTTTAAGTGGTATATCCAAACGAAAATTGAGTAACTCTTAGGATATTCATCCAATATCCTTAGAGACGTGCTGGTCAATTCCTATTGGTTAATTCCTACTGGTCAATACTGTGGTCGTCCTAGATATCAATCTCACGTACTTCAATGTTGTTTCTTATTGTCAGTCCTGACTGTGAATGTCACAGACTTCATTCAGTGTTGTTTTTTACTCGATCTAACTGCATAAATACGCATTATCTGTAACGTTTTATGACCAGGACCCGGATCCTTAGTCCGGGATCCTGATTTTCCTCTGGACCCGGACCTAGTACTTTCTGGATGCTTGTAGAATACATGTTCTACTTCAAATGTGGTCTTCTTCTTTCACTCAATGGGGGTTGGGACAATCGGATTAGAGTAGCCTGTCGTGTCACCGGATCCTCGATCCTCACTCTAGTTTTCCGACTAATGTAAACTCGTAGTAATTCCAGTATATCAAATAACGTGTTTACTTGCATGCGTAACAGTAACCAGTTTACTGATTACTATTGTATATAGGCTTATTGGATAAATATTAAGTATCAGGAAATCCCAATCAACTCATTAACTAATATTTTATGATTTATTATTCTCAACCTGTTGCTAGTCCATTATTTCCAGTCTTTTTTATCCGCAGCCACTTTTGATTTGTTCATGCGTAACCTTTATTTTCCACTTATTGGGGTGATGCTGTCTCGTATGTCTACACATAAACATACGATTTATATAGTGGTGGTGATTACTGTGTTCTTGGATCAACGGATAAGGCAGGGAAGAAGCTGCCGGATAAAGGAACAAAAAGAATGGAGCAGTGATCCATTTCTTCTTGTGCTCGTTGGAGTGTCGTTGGTTAGCTCGGGGACAAGGTCATGAAAATCAATATTCAAACTGATTGCTCTTTCGTGTGGTATTAGCGATCGGTCTATTTAATCATAAGAACAAGCTCCTAAAAAATCAGCCCATGACAGAAAAAATGAAACTTGAACAAATAAATCATACATTCTTGAAGATTCACAAAGAGAACATATTATCATGTCATATAAATTATCTGAAACGTTATATGATCAGATAGCTTAAATCAACAAAATCAACATTTTCTTTCTAATGAAATAGACTTGTTGTACTACAGAAGAAAAAAATTAAGCTTACTTAGTGAATGAAATTTTCACTTTGATAATATTTACTGAAACTGTATAATTGTACGTATTCTGATGTGAAATACCGGCATCATTCTGTTGAAAAGTGCAATGAATGTACATTATAAAAATTGTCCGGACATTTCAAATAACCCAAGACGATTGTGTAATATTTTAAAGTTCACGGTGGTGATTTAATGGGGTCAGAAATATAAGAGATCCGCTTGATCCATATGATAACTGTGGAGGGGATTGTAGTAGACGCGAATAACTATTCTGAAAAAATGGAAATCGTAATCATAACTGATTTGTGAACAAAAAATAAACAAACTAGGAAAGATGTTACGAGTTTCACTTTTAAAACTCAACATTACGGCATGAACGATTGAATTGTTAACGTGTCTACGACGCGCACGTTTTCATTGTTGGCCCTCCGTTGGAGGCGAATCGTTTTGGTTGTGTAGATAATTCGATCAGAATTGAGGAGATGCAATTGTGTTCATTAATTAACTAGCATTTTTCTTTTGTCTTATAAAAAAAATTTAGAACTGATCATCAGTTACACTCTTCAGTTAATTCAAACAAACAAAAAGCTGAAGGTGAAGATTCTATTGAACCAGAAATGTTCATAGAAGTTAGTTGTTTTTCATTTAAATCAATTCATTTATCAACCTTTTCAATCATCAGAGACTATAAAGTTAGTTTGATAGGTTGATGTTTTAACTAAGCACTAATTAGATAGTCAACACATTTGGTAATTCATTTTATTGACTGAATCTATTATTGAATATAAGTTAGTGAAGAAAATCTCTAATAAATTATCATTAAACTTAACTAAAGTCAAAGTGTATCTTTTCAGCCATTCATAATTATTAACGTAGAACGTGGCATCAGTATGTGTATTGACCTAAATTACCATATCTCATTAACAACATGACGAAATGAATTTACAAAGGTGATTAGTAAATTACTGAAAATAATATCATAACAAAGATAATAAGAAATACTCAACTATGAGTATATGATGCGAGAAAACAATGAACAAATGTGCATTAATGAATATTGAAAATTAAAATCTTGAGGGAAGATAAAGAGTGAATGCATTTACACCATTGTGACAGATGCTGAACCTTCACCAAAAGCTTCCAACAACTGATTCCGGTTATAATGCAAACTTCAACTGGTTGGGTCTGGCTGAATTCTTAATAGATCCTGTTGACATTATTCAGTTATAGTGCTCAAGATATTCAAGATCAATTTAAGGGTTTTTACATAAAATAGGTTTGACAGAGTTGAATTGTGTTTTCAATGGTAACACTTTTGTTATAACCACTCTTTTTAATTTTCTAATATCATACAAAATGAACCCCCTGTCATGAACATGTTTTTAACACACAAAAAAAATCAGATAACATTACTCCTTGATGATCACAATTTTTATGACAGCCATATTTGAACCTGTTCAAGGACTATGACAATCTATTCCATTACATTGATATTTTAAAGCTTTGGAATTTTTACATCTCAAGATTGTTATTTATCATATTTAGAAACCTTGAAATTAGTTGATAATTGTTAAAAAGAAGTCGATCGCGCGATTATACATCAATCGAGAATGGTATTATTTGTTCAGTATGACAAGTAATTATATTATCACCTAGTCAGCTTTATATATTAATTTATAAAGATACTTTTAATTCATAGTTAGCTAAACTTTACTATTAATCACTATAAAATACATCTATATAGGATACTTTTTTTTATCGACATGTTATTTCATATCTAGTGTTTAAATGTGAAATAAATTTTCACATTAGGTCATTGTGTTTGTCTTCCTCATTGAACTGAGTCATATAATTAACTCAGTAATAAGATACACATTTTCGAAACCATGAATCGATCAATTTTAGATCACCATTAGAAACCTGGAAGCACTGAACTGCCGTTTCGTCCTGGTATGGGACTCCTCAGCAGTGCGCATCCACGACTCCCGCATCCCGCAAGATTCGAACCCAGGACCTTCGGTATTGTGCACGAACGCCTAACCATCGGACCACTGAGCCGGTATCTAACGGTGTTATTTTTAAACTTGATCAATTCACGGAGTTGCGCAACCTCATAAACAATCTTCACAACCCCGTAATGTGAATAATAAGAGTAATAATTATAAATTTGATATCAATCACTATGTCTATTAACTGGAAAATAGTAATTCGTTTGACTAAAGAGATATTCGAACTGTGCATTTCAGTTTATTAATCTGAAAATGTAAAGCAGTAGACAAAAACGTTAATTCCAATGAAACAGAGTCTATTATAAATAGAGAGTTTCTGACGATGCTAAATTAGTCACAGAATTGACCAGATTAACCGAGAACTGATTTCTTTATTGTCACTGATAATGGATTTTAAAAGATCCTGTTCAGAATTTCTTTGTTGTTTTGAGTTATTGATTATCAAATTAAAGAAATTAATGTGAACCAAATATGAGAATCAAGAAAACATCTGTGTTGATATGAAGTTTAGCTAATTTACTGAATATTTTCTAACTGGTACATCATGATTTTTAGGTGTGCTTTGGATATTTAAATGTGTATTTCTCATTAGTAAGTCATTTCAACTCCGTGAAATTTGCTTTTTCGAATCACATTTTCGAGCATTACTTACCATAATTATCGATCAGTCATCTGCTCATTTGCTGAACAATTTATTAAATATGGTCATATAGACTCTTTTAAATTATTTTCCTAAATCAACTGATATCGAATAGTGATCAGAATAGTGTGTATACAATAAGGATTACATAGCCAATAATTTGTTTGAATCTAGGTCTTTTTCAATCATGATCTTTGTTAATACCTCATTTAGTTATGGTAACAAATTCGTTTCTACGAACAACAAAATCAAAGTATAGTACAAGCATTGTGTTTACTTACTTACATACTTACGCCTGTTACCCCCAATGGAGCATAGGCCGCCCACCAGTTTTCTCCAAACAACTCTGTCCTGGGCTTCCCTTTCTAGTTCTTTCCAGCTTGTGTTCATTTTCCTCATGTCTTTCTCTATTTCTCGGCGTAATGTGTTCCTTGGCCTTCCTCTTTTCCTTTGACCTTGAGGGTTCCATGTGAGGGCTTGTCTTGTAACGCACTCCGGTGCTTTTCGCAGTGTGTGTCCTATCCACTTCCACTGCCTCTTTCTGATTTCCTCCTCCACTGGAATCTGGCTTGATCTCTCCCACAGTAGGTTGTTACTAATGGTGTCTACATCCATAACTCCATAATTTTTGTATCACATTAGATAAAAAGAACATTGAAGTATATTTATAAACTTTCTAGTTAAATAAAACCACTGTACATGAAGACTTCTTTTCTTCTTCAATATACTATGGGGATTTTTAAATCGCCACACAGTTGAATTGATTTGATGTACATTTCTCTTAGAAGTATTGTGTGTGCATTCCAAATTTACAGTATACAAAATAAATTACATACATCCCACTCCGTAATGTTTGTTTTCAAAGCTTTATATAACATAACAATGGCTTCCTTATTAAGTTACAGATTTTCAGCCATTTGTTGTAACTTATGATTTAATGTCTCACAATACATACTTATAGAAGTATTAGGTCTCGTGGTTATTTAAACATTAACCACTCCGAACTATTGAATGATCTTTCCGTGAGTGATATTTCTTATGATAAACTTAACAGAAGTAGTTCAGTCAGTAAATTAACACACATCATGAGAACATTCTGGTATTTATCTCTCAATTTTCTTTGATAATCAATTTATAATTTAACCGAAGAATTTAAAAATGTAGCGTTTCATTGTCAAGTATTCCGTTTTACAATAAGATTATTACTTCCGATTTCTTTTTTTTTTCATTTTCATAGTATCCATCAATTAAAAAGGAGACATTGGAATTTTGTGAATTTATTAAAAATTTAGATGGTTCCTCAATTGACAATCCAGAACCGACAACATTAGCAAGTTTATTTGCTGGAACACATGAAGCTCAACCGCCAGTATCAACACCGATTAATGTTGTGGAATTAATTAATTTACCATATGAATTAAGAGATCGCATTGAAGAACCACCAAAATTACTTTGTGATAAGAACTTTTTAACTGATTCAAAGAGTTTACCACGTACTATTAATCAGATGCAGCTAGAAGGCCAAGAAAAGGTAACAACTAACAACTATCTGTAGTCTGTTTGTTCATGAAATTGTTATGGCTTATAGATTTGACCAATTATATCTTCGGCCAGTCGTTAATCTTATGTCTTTGTTTCTTTTGAAAATCCCTATCGCCAATTTGTCTATCTCCTTTCATGAACCAATCCGCAAATGACCTTTCAGTAACCAATGTAGAATAAGGACGGAAGACTTGACTAATTACTCTATGCTCGAAAGACGCCCCAATAGAAGAAGAAAAACAAAGACCAATTACCATCGTTCCAAGATTGCATACTATATTGCAAACATTCGTTAATAAATTACACACAAAAATAGAGCACAGTGCACCAATAAATGGAAATTAACAACTATACATGAATGAGCCGAAGGTGGCCATGAGAAGAGGAGACTGGGAATGATAAATCATAACTACTATACTCAATGAGTTAGTCAAGAGCTCAAGATACAGGGAATATATTTCGATAATAATGCAGTTACTTAATTATCGTACAGTATAAACAACAATTCATAAACTGGATTCTGAAGTAACCATTTACTTCAGTCTTCATCCGGATATAATAGCAATGTTATAATAACTTTAATGTAACAGTATTAGGCATAGCTAATCAGTTTACCATTATTTAAATAGGGTATTAAACCATAGCGGTTTCTTAACCTACAAAACTACTGATCTGGAGCTCTTACAGATAACATCTTATACATCAGTCTACCCATTAGAAAAGTCATTGACTTTATAAACCGTCTTGTTTTCTTCTGTTACTTCTGGTGGAGTGTGGGCCTCCAACCGGCACTCTCCAATCAACATGGATTCACGAATCTAATATAATGTTATAATTCCTCCACTACTGTGTATTAATAGTGACTGCACAAACAAGTTCTAGTCGATGTACTCACCTTTGACCTACACTTTCTGTATGTGGACTAGTGGAATTAACTACTTAGAGCTTCGGCAGATAAGAGTTAAAATTTACTTTGAGCGTCGAATATCAGCACGAACAATGACGTTTATTGAGGATTTCATAAACCGTGCACTCGAAAAATCCCTCTTTTAACCGGGCACAATACATTCGTAATAAACTTAATTTGCTGGTGATTTTCTTTTAGTGTTAAGCACTTTATCGCATGAAGTAAGCCAAGTCAGTAATACAGAAGGCCATTCACGGATTATATTGAATGAAACTGGATTTATGCTGAAATTTAAATTAAGTTAGAAATCAATGACTTTAAATTTCTACAAAAATGGTGATCGATAACATGACCATTTCAAACCAGCTAGTTCCTGGGTTTCTAATCCTTATGGAGTCGGTGTTATTCAAGTTATTAGAGTTCTAAACTGATGTTATGCAGATAATAATTTTACTCTGTTTCCAAAAGATTCTTCATTTGATAATACTCAGTAGTTATTTCTATGTAAATAACAAACAGATTTACTGGAATTAAGTGCAAGTTTGAATTAAGCATAAAGAAAGTCCAACTTAAACTCGAAAATACCTGCTGAAGATGTACTAATAGTTCTTAAAATTAAGGACTAAACTAACGATAACAGGATAATAGGGATTTTAGTCTGAAAACTACATGTATGCCGTAATGTCAATATGTTCTGTAGACCACAGTTTATTTACGAATAGTCAGATGGAATTTAAAAATCAAAGTTATTGGCTAAGTCAAAATTAAAAGTTACTTACTTTAACCGAATTCCAAAAGTATGGGCAGATATCAACCTATTTCGATCGATATCAGTGAAGCGTTGGTTGTATATGATGGAATGATGGAGTGATCCACGCCAAGGTTAAGATAATAAGTAGAGATTGGAATTCGGTTTATCAAGCGTTAGTTATTTTAATGTTCCTTAACCAAACTGCTTTTCTTAGTGTAGTATACTATAAATCCGACTTCAGTTAACCAGTCGTACAAAGTTTTGACAAACTATCAGTATTTAAGAAGAAACTTTGATTATTTATTCAGTGTTTTGTTCTACAATATGGAACTTCTTCACGAAATCTACCCGTTTAAACAATAAACATTATTTGAAACGGGCGTTCAGTCTACTCAGGTGATTTTTGATCAACTTAGTCATTTGTGGTGGTGTTTCGTTTTCTGAGCTGGGTATTTTGGTTCTTAAGCTTTCATTGTTTGTCTGAACAACATCATCAAAACCAAATATCATCTACAAAATAAATTGCTCAGACTGAAAAACACCACATAGTTAAACGCCATGGTGATTCGTCGCTTATATCAATACGCACGGACAATTATGGACATACATTCGATTGGAACAATTTCGAAATACTGGATAGATGGAGTACGAAGAACACCAGAGGATTTTTAGAAGCTTGGCGCTCAGGTTAATCAACAACAATCAACAAACACATCGACATTGACCCAATCTGTCAACCAATCAGAAAAATCCTAGGTGACATAGGATCAAGAAACTGATCAAAAAGGGGTTACAGTCAAAATAAAGGTGAAAACAACGATAGGTTTAAGGTCAACAGCAACCAGTCAAGATCGAGGTTAGCAGAACAAGCTACAGGTTAAACGTGGAGAAATTCGAATGCTTCACTTCCATCTGAAGTTTGTGCTAATTATGTTGTTCAGAAGAACAATGAAAGCTTAACAACCGAAATATCCAGCTCAGAGAAAGAAGCACCACCACAATCATCCACCTGAGCTACAGATTTTCTCCAACATCTCAACTTAATCATTTACTTATAAACACTTGTAGGGTTTGACTCAGATACGTATCCATCAGAGATGATATACTTCACTTTAACAAAGTAAGACAAGGAAACTAACAAAAGCAGAATGATATTATTAATGGTAAATTAAGCAAAAGAAATCCAATTGTAAGATAAATAATAAAAAGTTTGGAATAATAACAGATTTTAAGGTTTTGGGAAAGTAAAAATTGATACAGTTGTAATACATTTTGAGGCATATTATCCATTATCTGCAATCATAGATTACAACTTTATCAAAAACTTCAACCAAGATGCCTACATCTGTTGACATGGATCATTTCATTATTCAGTGAATTTCTTTCATAATGAAAATCTTGTGTTTGACACTAGTATAATATTTTCAGTGCTCGCTGTTCAGGAACCTCAAATAATAGTTTTATGTCTTCCTAATACTCTGTCATTCCCAATAGTTCTGCAACTAGTTCATAATGATTACGATCCAGCAGACTACAGTCTTGGCTAACCAGAATAAAGTAATCTAATCATCTGGTTGCTGTTTGTTGAGCTGAATAGCCTCAGGCTCCTAAAAATCCGATTGCCTGCTTATTTGTACTAAACATATAATATGAGAATACAACTTTAAGGTACGAATGATGCAATCAGATGCAACTCACTTTTTAAAATTGAGTAGTTTTCATTCTATCATTCAACTCTGACCATTAACGTGAGTGGTTTTTTGCTAACTCATTTGTTCTCATTGTTACATATAATATGTCATTTATATTAACTCAAGTGATAGTGTCAAACACATAAAATACTATGATGTCAGTTACATGTAAACTAATCATTACTTACATCTTACATCTACACCTTTGAATCACCAACGAATCAGAAATGTAATTTGTCTTACCATTCATTACCGACTTATCGATTAATAATATGACAATTTCTGCTTAATTCATTTACGTGAGAGAACCATATTTCAATAAAGGTTAGACTCATCAAACTATGCTGAAGATAGCTTTTAGTCAAAAACTGACCGTATTTTACTATGAGCCATTTGTGGCGTTTCACTCTACGTATTTTTGAATCCTTGAACGCACTTAAGTTCATTACAACAAAACCAACGTGACGAAACAATATGTTAAATATTGTTTTAATTGCATCATACGTGCATTGTGTGGTATTTCTTTTCGATTAACAGATGTTTTCAAGCAAAATTCATCTTATAACACTAAATTTGTAGTATTAATAAAAGTCAGTTGATTAGAAGATAATTCCTTTTAAAATTAGACGTCTTCAAAGCTTAACAAAACAACATAGTGTTGCGTAGTAACTGTGTAAGCTGTTTTAGTTGAGGAAAAATCTTATGAATATGTGGATTAATGTAATTGGTTTGATTGACTACGTGATAATTGCTCACTAAAATCGCTTTATTAATATACCACTTTTCAAATGAACGGATATTAGAAGATAAAAACTTTCAATCAGAGTTATGGAGATCCATGTTTTTACACATTGAAATCATCAATCAATCATTGTCAGACCACCGTTAGAAACCTGGAAGCTGTGGATGGCCGTTTAGTCCTGGTATAGGACTCATCAGCAGTGAGCATCCACAACTCCTGCTACTCGCAAGATTTGAACCCAGGACCTTGGGTCTTCCGCGGGAATACATAACCTCTAGAAGACTGGCCAAAAAGAAGGAGTCGTTTTATACAGTAAAATTACACATTGATGTACAAAATACTTAAGATAAAAGTAGACATGATTAAAACTCATTTAGAACGTTAGTGATTTTAGGATCCAGATATCCGATGTCATCAATAGAATTTAGACACAACCATGGAACTCATTTACTGTCCGTCATATAAGAATGTGGATATCGACCTTACATTTGATAAAACTTTGGATGGTTTAACAAATTATCAAAACAGACCGAAATTCGTTTTTTGAGATGAGGATTGAAGTTCAAAGAAAACAGTTGTCGATAAAGTTATCGTTCTAATGACTCTTAAATTAACCTAATTATGTTTCAGAGACTGAGTAAAATATCCTAACCATTAACAAGGTTATTCAGTGTCTTTTATATATTGTTACGTGAATATGGTTAATACGAACTATTCACTTACCATTACTCATGACAAAATCCTTTTCATCACCATTCAAATAAAACTGAACTATTAAAATTCAACCCTTCTGGATACCCGTATTCGGTAAACTGGTGACAAAACCATTTGTTGATTTTCATTAAGTAAAAACACTTTCAAAAGTCATTTGATTAGTTACTCATGTTCACAAACCGATCCATAGGTTTCTATTTGTTATGCAATTGCTCATGAAACTATTTGTCCTCATAAACCGAATTCTGACTAGCAATGCAATATTAGTGCGTTTTCATAACATTCCATTGGAGACTAGATTTCTGATTATCATATCACATTTACACATGGTAATTATTGTTGTTCCATACAAACCTTTATCAAGTAAACCTTTGAAAGGAAGCTAAATGACCCAATAATAGTTCTTGTCGCTCATTGAACTACGGTCTGTCGTTAATGGTTTCACGCTTAATCTTTCTAAATGTCAAGCTGTTAACTTTAACCTCAGACGTGAACGGGATCTGTTGGAATCCCATGAAGTTTGTACCATTGGCGATTCTAAATTTAACGTTGTCAAAAGTCATAAATCTTGGTGTAAGTTTTTTTTCTGATCTCTGTTGGTCTGCTCATGTTTTACTGATATCAAGGCAAGTTTTCGTTTGATTTATCATACGAAGAGGCTACATATTTTTAGCACTACTGGACATTTACTTTTACGCCTTGTAAACTCACATATTGCCTATTGTCCTTTATTGTTCCCAACTGTTCTTCTTCGGAATTTTGAGAAATCCTGCCTTGTTGAGAAGAATGCTGAAAGTGGTTGGCAGAGTTTATGACGAATCTTTTGAAGTCATCATGAATATGGTGATGGATAGACATTCAAAAGCTTGCAAACTCCTGACAAGCGTTATCCTATCTGATACTAACCATCCACCTTCACAAATATACTCTATGTGACGAACAGGTGGTTAGTTAGTGGTGACTTATTCAAAAACTTATATCCCTAAACATGTTCCTAATTAAAAATTTGTATAAATTCTCATCATATGAAAAAAGGGACATTTCATTTTAATTACAGACAGTTTGTTAACTGAATTTTTTAGTTGTAAAATATGAATGCAGTTACTGATTTTATAAAGGACACTTGCTGAAATATTCCGTGTTCAGAATTCTCTGTTGTACTAAACATATGTTACTGTATAAAACTATTATTATCATTATTATTACTCTTATATATATATTACTCTATGATATGAAATGATCACCTGGAAGCTACAATACTTCATAGTGCTTATCAGTATAACAGATGCATTTAATAGGCAAGCATACACTATGTTTACTTACTTAACCAATGCTGAGTAATGCACTTGTTTAATTCTTCTTTTAATTGTTAATATTTATAATCTTAAGAATTTTGAAAGATTACATTATGGTGCTTGGTATATACCACCGAAACAATGGAAAGTTATCAAAGATGATGCTGTAAAAAAGATGAAAAATGAACATGAATTTTCTAATGTAAACATTAAATCATACAAAGAATTAGCAACAAATTTAAATGAGAAAATGAAAGAAACCCATGGATATGAATCATTTATGGAATTTATACAAAGTAATAATAAACGTATACCTAAGGTGAGGAGAAAGAGACGGAGATAGAGAGAGAAATAGTATCTTTTCATTTTGTTAATACTCATTCATATATTTTTGATACCATGAACCGATCAATGTTAGACCATCATTAGAGACCTGGAAGCGCTGGACGGCTGTTTCGTCCTGGTATGGGACTCCTCAGCAGTGCGCATCCACATATATTACAAACTTTTAGAAAAAGTGGTAAATTTCCGAGTATCAAAATTCAGAATTTCTTTTTCTTTAGTGATATTGTCTTAGTCAAGCAGACCTAAGCTAATTTCTACATGATTAACATGAGTGAGCACGTCAAACAAAACATTTTTTCATTTCATTATTTTACTTGAGTAAGTTAGTTCTACTGTATAGAGCGGAAACCTGGAGAACTACGAAAGTCATCATCCAGAAGATACAAGTGTTTATTAACAGTTGTGTACGCAAAATACTTCGGATTCGTTGGCCAGACACCATCAGCAACAACGAACAGTGGGAGAGAACAAACCAGATTCCAGTGGAGGAGGAAATCAGGAAGAAGCGGTGGAAGTGGATAGGACACACATTGCGGAAAGCATCTAACTGCGTCACGAGACAAGCCCTCACATGGAACCCTGAAGGCAAAAGGAAAAGTGGAAGGCCAAAGAATACATTACTCCGATAAATAGAGAAAGATATGAGAGGAATGAACAAACATTGGACAGAACTGGAGAGGGAAGCCCAGGACAGAGTTGGTTGGAGAAAACTGTTGGGCGGCCTATGCTCCATTGGGGGTAACAGGCGTAAGTAAGTAGTAAGTACTTGAGTAAGTTAGTTGTTGTAAAGAGAATTCGGTTGAATCTCCTAAGTTGTAAGTCAGATCTGTCGATAAAATTTATGTTTTAGGAAAACTGAATGAAACTGGGTCACTTGAATATCGATTTATTTAACTTAAACAGTTTCTTTCAGTTGTTTATAACTTAAACACAATGTTGGTAACTATTAGAAATAAGGTGAACACATACTTTAATATCACAATAATCTGTAAAAATTTCTCACCAAGTTAAGATGAATGAGAAGTTGTAATAAGTAAGAAAGATTGATAACAGATGTTCATATGGTTGAATATTTTTCATTTAAATAATGTTTATTGATTGATTATGTTGAAAGATTGAGATGTCAACATAACATGTCCACTGTCAGGAGAATTAGGAGATAAAGGTCATCAAACTTACTGAATTTTGTGTAGAAGCAGTGGCCGTGACCAAATTTATGCATGCAGAAAGACTCGGTTATAAATCTTCTTCCGTCATAGTGAATTTATTTACAAATGTCTGTTACAAAATCTATTTTCTCCATGGAACGAATTATGATTTCTTACTTCTTTAGCTAACATGTATTCAGTTAGTTAATTTTATTTTATATATATAACTATGACATGGATCTTTCATTTTATGTCTTAGTAATTCTGTTTCCGTCTTCTTTTCATCTAAGAATATTCGTATATTCAATTTTATAAACATCCCTTAGAACTCTTCCATACTTATTGCTCTTTTCATCACCTTCATTGATAAGAGCTTTTCTGATATTATGATATAAAGTATGTACACCATATTTTTAATGATTGCTATGATGGTCTTTAGGGTTGTAAATAGCTGAAGAAAAGTTATAGAATAATTGAATTCACATTCTTTTCGCTTCATTCAACGTTCTTCTAATCAAAAGTTGTACGAAATACCCTATTGTTGGTTGTATTGTATTCACTTTACAATAGATTGATTGATCGAAAACTACAAGCAGCATTAAGAAGCAAGTTTATCTCACATATCCACTTTCCTCTTCTAAACTGCCACAAAATGGCTATATAAACCAATAAAATTATTT